AAATAAAAAAAAAATAAAAAAATAAAATTGTAAAATCATAAAATTTGAGATGAAGTGTTTTAGAACGATTTTTTTTGCAATCTCATTTTTTTATTATTAAAAATTGGTAAATTGATTTTTTTATTTGATTTTTTTATGATTATAATTATTATTGATATGATTGTTATGCGTTTTTTGGAGTTTGGATATATGATGTTTAAAATTTGAAAATACACATATAAGTATTATTGGTGATTTAATAACTTACCACTTACTCGTATTAATAAGACTCCATCAAGTATAAAATATAAAAAATTGAAAAATATAAATAAATAAAAAAATATAAAAAAAACTATGACTTAGAAAAAAATTAATTTAAAAAAAAAAAAATTATTTGTTTGAATAATATTTATATTAGTTTTTTTTTTTTGTTTTTTTTTTTGTTTTTTTTTTTTTTATTTTTTAAGTTTATTCTTTTATAATGAAAAAAACTGGGGTTGTAAAAATAGAAAATCCATAAAGCAAAACATATTAGTGTACATTATACAGTTTCTCTTTAAAACAAAGAATATAAAAAACAAATAAATTATTACAGTTAAATTATTCTATTTTTAAAATCATTGGTGTAGTGTGCTTATCTGTGTTGAATATTTGCTATTTTTATAAAGATAATGAAAAATGCCAATACAATAAAAAAATACCAAAATTAGATTATTTTAAAAAAATAAAGATAAAAACAAATTCATTGTAGGGTGTATTTGTTTTTTTTTATTTTTATTTTTTTATTTTTTTATTTTTTTTTTTGGTGAGTTTTTTTATATCTATTTATTTAAATGTAGTAAATTTAACCTAAATCTATTTTTAAAAAATATAAATGATAGTAAAAAACAATTGTAATAATTAAGAACAAAAAAAAAACTAAAAAAATATTAAGCACCCATTATGAAATTCGATAAAATGTGTCCATATAAAATGAAAAAAAAAAAAATAAAAAAATTTTAATTTTTTTTTTAATTTTTTTTTTTTTTAATTTTTTTTTAATTTTTTTTATTTTTTTAATTTTTTTTTTTCTTATCTGATTTCATCAGTCATACACATAAAATGTCTTTCTTAAAATTATTACCACAATCAGTTGTCTCATCAATCCAAAAATCATCATGGGTTGAATACAGAAAAATGGGTATATATCATATATTTTTATTAAGATATAAATAAAACAAAAAAAAATAAAAAAAAAATAAAAAAAAAAAAGAACAACATCAACGGAATGCACAACAAAATAAAATAAAATAAAAAAAATAAATAAAATGTTAAATAAGAGTATATTTATTAATACAAATATTTTACAGGTTTATATTTAGCTGATCTCTACAACACTACCCCAGTTGTTGAAGAAGTCTACAGAAGATTACCAGAACACCACCTCATTTCAAGAGACAGAAGATTAAAAGTTGCTTTCGATTTAAGCGTTAAAAAACAACTTTTACCAGGTATGTTTTTAAAATACCAAATAGATTGACAGTAAAATCATTTTATTAATATCTTTTTTTTTATTTTTAATTATTCAAATTTGAACAAATTTTATTTAATACAAATATTAAATATTAAACATCAACTATTAAATATAGAAAACGAATGGTCAGATATGACTAAAGATTATGAATACACTGAAATGATCGAAAAAGAATCAGAAAAAGTTCAAAGAGAAATTGATATCAGAAAGAGTTTCAGAGATTAAATTTATTTAATATAGCATAATAACAATAATAATAAAGTAAAATGGAATAATATAAAAAATAATATAAAAGTATAATAATTTTGGATATTTTTATCAAATAAAATTTTAAATAATAAATTATAAAAATATTTAAAAAAAAAAAAAAAAAAAGTCTAGATTTTATAAAAACAAATAATTTTATTTTATTTATAATACATATTTATAAAATTATTATATGTTTAAATATTATTACTATCAGATGATTGGGTGTCACTTGGCGATGCACTATGATGAGACAATAAACTTTCATTTGGTTTTGATTCACCAACTATAATTTGATCATTTAATAATGGATTTTCATAGTTTTCATTGTCGTCAACAATATTAGTATCACCATTATTTATATTATTGTTGTTATTGTTATTATCTATATTAATATTATTATTATTATTATTATTATTATTATTATTATTATTATTATTATTATTGTTATTGTTATTGTTATTATCTATATTAGTATTGTCTATATTATTGTCTATATTATTGTCTATATTATTATTATTAATATTTGATGATTGTTCTTCTGGTTCATTTTTTTCTTGTTCTTGTGGTAAGGCTAATTGATTAATATTATTTAAAAGTTCTTCTTCTTCAATGTCATCTGAGAACATTCTATGATATTTTCCTTTTGCTGCCATTAATTCATCATGTGTACCTTCTTCAATTAAGAAACCTTTATCTAAAACAAAGATTTTATCACAATCACGTACAGCAGCTACCTTATGAGCTACCATTACTACAGTGTGACCTTGAGTTAATTTTTTAATACTATTTGTAATGGCTTCTTCACTTTCTGGATCTAACTCTGCAGTAATTTCATCTAATAACATAATCTTTCTTTTGGCACAAATAGCTCTGGCAATAGCAACTCTTTTCTTTTGACCACCGGATAATAGACCACCACCATAACCTAAAACTGTTTGGTATTTTTGGGTTAGTTCTTCAACAAATTCATGAGCATTGGCTAATCTTGCAGCTTCATAAACTTCTTCTTCGGTTGGGTTATCGATGGCATAGCTTATATTGTCATAAACACTTGCATCAAATAAAAATGGTTGTTGATGAACACATGTTACAAAGCCTCTTAAGTTACTTGGACGTATCTTTGAGATATCTACACCATCTAATGTAACTTTTCCCATTTTAATTTGATAAAATTTGGATATTAATTCTAAAGCTGTTGATTTACCACTACCTGATGGACCAACAATACCATAGCATTTTCCTGATTCGAACTTCATATTGATATTATGTAGTACTTGAATATCTGGACGTGATGGATAGCTGAATGTTACATTGTGGAATTCAATATCACCTTTTACATCTTGTAGTTCAATATATTGTGATGGAATAATACTCATTTCTATAACATCAATTCCTGTTCTCTTTAAAAATTCTTTTTCTTCTTTCTTCTTCTTCTTTTTCATTTCTTTTTTACTTGTTTTATCATTATTGTTATTGTTATTATTAATATTATTATTATTATTGTTATTTGCTCCTATTGGATCTATAGTGTTTCCATCATTACTTCCTCCACCATTTGTATCATTGTCTTTATCTCCACCTAATAGTGCAGGAGAGCTTGGGGTTGTACCCGAGACAGAGAATTTATCGTTTTTACCATCTCCTCTACCATCATTATCGTCGTCATCATCATCACCACCATTTTGTTCTTCTTCTAAAGTTGTTCTCTTTCTAGGTGCTGAACGTAAAATTATAAATACTCTAGTTGCGGATGCTTGTGATTGTACATAGCTTACATAGACACCAAATAATGTTGTTGAAGATTCTATAACATAACCGATATATAATGAAAATGATATCATTAAACCAACAGTAAATTGTTTTTGAATAACTAAATATGCACTGAAATAAAGAATAACAAATGTTAAACTTTCGATTAATAGCCATTTACCAGTTGATGCAATTGTATTACAAATGATAAGTTTTCTTGCTGTAATAAAAACATCCATTAGGCAATTTGTGTACTTGAGTATTTCTTTATCTTGCTTACAATAATTGGTTACTACATGCATATTAACCATTGATTCTTGGCCATGTTGAGATGACTTTGAGTTGAAATATAATAAGGTTTTGGTTAATTTTTTAGTGAATACTGACTGAAGTTGGGTAACCAAACCTAAGATTGGAACAGCAGCAAAGAAAGCTAGTGATAACTTCCAAGAGATTGTGAAGATAAAAACTAAACTGCCAACTAATTTGCAAATTGCTGTTGCAATCGATAATAAAATACCAGTTAGAGCCGATCTTAACATAGGGGTATCTACAATGAGAATATTCATTAATGTGGCGGCATTGTTAGTTTGAAAGAAACCCATATCTTGGGCAATGATGGCTCTAAAAACTTTATTTTGGAGTCTCATAACCATCTTTTCATTTACTATACCGGATATCCAAGAGCTAACATTGGTAAAAACAAATTCGATAAATGCTAAAATGAAAATAATTATAAAATCTTCTTTGAAATCCCCCATAGAGTTTGTTGATGGAATGTTGTTAATGATATTACCAATATAGTAAGGTTGAAGAATTGATGCGGCTGTGGCAACTAATGAGCATGCTGTTGAAATTGCTAATTCAATAATGAAAGGTGAAACTAAATTATAAAGATCTGGAGGTGAAACTGGAGCATCTTTATCTTTTGGTCTTACATATATACCTGTACCATCGTCGAAACGTTTATAGCTATCTTTTTTGCTTTCTTTATATTCCATGTATTTAATTATTAGGATGAATAAGACAATTAGAAACATTGTACCACCAGCAACTATAATGATAATATAGTTATAGGAAAGGAATTTATCGCATGAGTTCTTTAATGAGTTGTAGCTATATCCTTCTTCGCAGCTTTGGACTAGACATTGTGACCAATCAAAATTACTCTTGCAACTGATAGTGCCAACTCCATGAGGAATAGAGCATGGAACTGTTACACCTTCTTCACATTGACGACATTCTGAATCCCAACCAAATTCACCATTTTCACCATGGAAAACAAATGAGAATTTTTGAGGACCTATTGGAATATTTGAACCCATAATTTTAAATTTATATGTAGTTGCTTCAGTTGGAAAATGAGTAATACCTTCTACATTATTAACAAAATCTGGTTTTGGGAGTTGACCTGGTTTAGTTACACCACCACTGTTACCATAGTATATTTTTTCTTCATCACCTTGAAGGATCATTAATAAATCTAAATTGTTTACTAAATTATATTTAGCCCCAAGAAAAGATGGTGGATCAGTCCAAACTAAAGTTGCTTTAACTTTTGGTTTTCCAGTACTTGAATTTGGTTTAAAGGTAAAGCAATATGATGTATTAAGGCCAACACTAATTTCCTTTTCTTTCCATTCTGATGGTTTTTTATCTTTCAATTCACCTATAGCTATCCATCTATTTATTTCTTTACCAGTTGATTTTACATACATCCAGTCGTTCATTCTTAAAGCTCCCCATCCTTGAATATTATTTGCACCAGCAAAGGGAATTTCGATGTTGTTTGGTTGAACTCTACCATCACTGTAATAGATGCTACCATTTAAAAATAAAGCATTGTTAATCATAAGAGCTTTTAATAAAGCACCACTTGGATTAAGTTTGTTTTCTTCAATTGGTTCACCTGTTGGATAATAGCCTTCGGTTAAATATTGTCTAAGGATAGCTGTTGCTGCGGTTGCTAATGGAGTGGCCATAGATGTACCAAGTAATGATAATAAACCACTTGAACTTGGAACTGCACCGGTACCACATTGTTGGGTGTTATTGGGACCATTTGATCTTGATGATGTGATGTATTCACCTGGAGCAACAATATCTGGTTTTAATCTACCATCATGTGTGGGACCTTTTGAAGAAAAGTTACAAATATTATTTTGATTATAATGGGTAGAGTTTGTGGTAAATTGATTTGATTGTGATTGTTTTAATAAATCGGGACAGCAAATGGCTAAACCTTTAACTGTTGGTGCTTCAGAGCAACATTGAGCAATTGTATAGTTACAATATTTAGGATCTAATAATTCACATAGTACCCTTATCTGGCTAGTTGCAATTGCATCAAAATCATTATAGGTCATAAAATCTTGAGTATATGCCTGAATAGCACTTTGTTCTGCACCTACTGTAATAACATTTTTTGATGCGGCTTGAGCTAATAATGACCCATATTGTTCATTATTACCAACAGCTCTCAAAATAATGAAATCTGGGTGGTCATATAGAAAACTATCAATTGAGCTTGAGTCTTTCGAGTAACCACCAACATAACCACTAACAGAAACAGAACCCCAGGAATCACCATGTACTCTTGCACCTGCATTGTAAAGAGGTTTATACATACTCTCGTAATAGTCGGCAGGAGGAATTGGTTCTTGAGAATTTGGGTCATTCTTTGATATATCAAAAAATGCTAATTTTGCATCGCTTGCTAAACCACTAAATTGACCAATTTGCCATGATGTATTTTCAGGTGAACCAGCAGCAGAGCCACAAACATGAGTACCATGACCATCTATATAATCTTGATCATCGCCTGCTTCACTTCCATTATAGAAATAAGCTATAACTTTTCTATGTTTTAAATTTACAGTATTGAAAGGTATAGGGGTTTTTGAGTCACTAAAAAAACAATGGCTAGTATCTAAACCAGTATCGGCTACACTTATAATTTGACCCGCTCCTCTTAATGGAATGTCTATTCTATCATTGTTTGCTAAAGATTGGGAGTTGCCAAAAATAACGGTTGGGGAAACTCTATTTGAAGTGATAGTTTTAAATGATCTTTCAAAAAAATTACTTTCAGGTTGCTCAGACAACCATTGGTAAACTATTCTTTCGCTTTCACTTAAAAAGCATGTTGATTTGTCACCATCTATACATGATACAGTTACTTTAGCCATGGTTGAGCTTACAGATTCTACCTTAGCTTGAGATTTTAATGATAGTTCAGATTCTTTTAAAATTTGATTTAGTTTAAGTTGCCATTTGTTGGCCATTAAAACATCTGAGAAACATACCATAATATATACCGGACGACCTGAAGATTGATCATAGAAGTTAAGATTACCTAGTTTATTAGATGGCTCTAATTCTCCAATCCATGATATCCATTTCTTTTTTGATAATACTTGTCTTTGCTCTAAATTCATAACTACCAAAAAGCTATCTTCTGGAACATAATGTAATAGTTTTGATCCAAATGGTTGATAATTTGTAATACTATCAGTAATTTGTAAAAATTCTGTAAGTTCATCTTTAATATCTTTTGTAATTTTATCTTTAAATTGTATTATATAGTGGTTTTTTAAATATAGTTTATTATTTTCATTATTTATATTGTTGTCATTGTTATTATTTTCGCTATTGTCATTAAAAGACTGTAATAATCTAGAAATATATGAAGTATGTTGAAAACTATTAATTGAAGCGGGTTTTTTAATAATATTGTCGAAACTATTATCATTTATATGTTTATTTATTTTAAAACGAGGATCTATTATTTCATTTGTTAAATATATTTTTTTGGAGTTTTGATTTATATACTGGTCATTATGATTGTTTTTTTTATTAAAAAAGGTTGAAAATACCGAAAAATAATTTCCCAGTAATGTTATTTGTTGATCGTTTTTTAAAAATCTATTATGTGTTGGATTAAAGTGTTCATCATTTACAAATCCCAGATTAATTGCTAAAAAAAGTATTAATAGCATTAACCCTGATATTATAAGTGCTTTATTAGGTAATATAAATTTAAATTTCATTCTTTAAATTAAAACTAAAATTTAAAATTAAAAATTTAATAAATAATTTTGATTATTAAATTTTTTTATAGATTGATGATAATAGTTACCTTTATTTAAAAAAGTTTTGCTTTAATGTTATTATTTATTTGTAATGATTTTAAAATATTATTTTTCTTTTTATCTGTGTGCTGTTGTTTTAATAATTTAGAAATAAAATAATTTTTTAAAAAATTATTTGATTTTAATATTTTTTTTTAATAATATTAAAAATTAAAAAAATTACAAAAAAAGGTTTATTTTATTAAAATAAAATTATAAGCTTATATATTGTACATATATATATATAATATTTTAAATTCACCTTATATGATGAACATTATATAATAAATATTGAAAAAAGAATTTTTTTTTTATAAACAGATTGATTTTTAATATGTTTTAATCTATTAAATTTTTTTTTTTTAATTTTTTTTAATTTTTTTTAACACACAAATAATTTTATAAAAAAAAATTTCAAAAAATATATAATTGTGTACCTAAATAATTTTTGTATGTATAATTATATCCAATTTTTCAATCACCATAATCTTGGCTTAATGAGACTCTATAAGTAAATTATTTTTAAAAAAAAAAAAAAAAAAAAAAAAAAAAAAAACAAAAAAAAAATAAAATTAATTATAATTGGGGGTAGGTGGGGGTTATGTGGTGTTGGGTTTTTTTTCTATTTTAAAAACTTCTCACATTTAAACATATCAACACTAAAAAACTTAACTGTTTATTATCTTTTTAATAAAAGATTTAATTTCAAAAACAATATTAAATTTTATTAAAAGTCTCAATATATACACTTATGCAAAATACTTAAAATAAAATTAAGACAATTTATACGATTATAAGAATAAAATAAATTAATTATCATTTTTAATAAGATGAGATTATTTAAATCAGTTATAAAATAAAGTTAACCATTTAATTGAATTTTAAATTAGATTGTTTTTAAACGAAAAATAATTTAAATCTAATGTGTTTTTCATTTAAAACTATATAAATATTTTTCTTTTTTATATTTATTTTAGTTCAGTGAAGCCTAAGGTATTTCATTTTTAAATATATCAAGGAATAAATTAAAGAATGCAATTACTTCTTTTTTATATTATAAATGAAAAAGGTATTTTTTAAATAATTGATAAGAAAAGGAAATTTGTTACTATATGTTTTAAAATGACGGTGTTATATAAATAAATAATAAAAACTAAAATCATTATTTAAATAATTACTATTTATATATTTTTTTTTAAATTTTAATATTTAATTTTTTTTAATTTTTAATTAATTTTTTTTTTCATTTTTCAAAATTTTTTTTTATATTTTAACATTGTAAATATTTACAATGGTCAGTGGGAATCTTTTATTTAATAATAATAACAATAGTAATGAAGAAGAAATATCAGAAAATAGTTTCCCAATTTCAACAAAAGATATAATAATAAAATATAATAGAAAAGATGAAATATTAAAAAATAATTTATATAAAAATAAAGCAGGATGTAATGTTTATTTAAGAGACATTAGTTATTTCGAAATAATAAAAAATGAAAAAATAGAATTATTAAAAGGTTTAGATCTTTATTTAAAACCAAAAGAAATGACGTTGGTTATTGGTGATAACAGTTGTAAATATGTATGTTTTATTAATTATGAATAAAAAAAAAAAATATTTATATTTAACCAATATATAATTTAAAAGTTATTTAATATATTACGTGGGAAATATATTGATAAGTTCCTTTCAGGTCGAATGTTATTCAATGGCAATACAATATGTAAAGATATTCATCACAGAAATGTGTCATATTTACAACCCGAGGATGCACATATGCCTTTATTAACAATTAAAGAAACATTAAGGTTTGCCTTAGATTGTCAATATAATGATAGCGAAATATCAAGTGGACTCAAAGATGAAATTATAGAAAATGAATTAATAATAGCTGGTTTATACAATATCAAAGATGTATTGGTAGATAAAATAGATATTCTAGAAAAAAGGAAATTAACAATTTTGACAAGTTTAATCAAAGGTCCAGGTTTGATCTTGGGCTATGACATAACAAATGGATTAGATCCAGAAGATTCATTAGAGTTAATAAAGTTAATAGGTAACAATATTGATTACGGGTATTCAAGCGGAATAGTTTTTTTGCAACAACCAAGTGTGGAAATTTCATCTTTATTCACAAAGTTAATAATAATGCTAAATGGAGAAATTTACTATTATGGTTCAATGTCGGATTCATTGAAATATTTCAAAGAGAATGGATTTCATTGCCCGCCCCATCTAAACCCAACCGATTACTTCCTTTCAGTTTTGGAGGATCCAGCAAAGTATACTGTTATTGAGCCATCTTTATCATTTAATCAGTTTAAAAATGCATACAAAGAATCAAGCGATCAAGAGTTAGTATATGATATGGACAACCATAAGAGTGGGATTATTGATGAATTAATAGATCCCAGGCAATTACAATTACAATCAAAAAACCGACTTAATAGATATCCGACAAGTTTATTTTATCAAACCAAAATTTGCATTAAAAGAAGTTTAACTATGATGGTTAGAGAAAAGTTTTATTTATACATTATTTTTCATGGTTTAATAATGGGCTTAATATTGGGAAGTTTATTTTTTAGAATAGGTCTTCATCAACAAAATGGAATGGAAAAACCCGGGATTTTATTTTTTGTAATGATTGATATTGTAGTTTTATCAAATGGTACCATTGGGCTCTTTTATAAAGAAAAGAATAATTTTTATCATCAAAGAAAAAAAGAAAATCTCAACTATCGAACACTTCCTTTTTTAGTTGCAAATGTTATAAGCAATATAATACCATACTTTATAGATACCTGGATCTTTATCTCTCTAGTTTACTGGATGGTCAATATAAATACTTCAGGCTACAGGTTTTTTTGTTACTTTTTTCTATTGACAAGGTAGGATTATTTATTTGATAGTATAAATATAATATAAAAAAAATATTAATACTTTTAATTTATTAATTATAATTTTAGTTTAAGTTTTTTTCAAATAGCATATACCAAGTTTTGTTCTATTTATGCATCAACAGTAGAGATTTCATTTATAATTTTCAATGGATCGATCCCAATCTTAATGCTTTTGTCCGGGTTTGCTCAGCCTAATGTTAGAGGTTGGTGGAATTGGTTACATATTTTATCACCATTCACATATGTTTTTAGAGGTTTAAGTGTAAATAATTTCATTGGTCAAACTTATTATTGCGAACCCTTTGAATATGTACCACCGCTCAATGATCCATTACTAAATGCAACTTATCCAATAGGTTATGAGGGAAATCAAGTGTGCCCAAAGACAACCGGTAAAGAATTCATAGAGGTTTCTAATATTACACAAAACAACGGATTTCAATGGATATGTGTTTCAATTGTATTGGGTTATGCATTATTTTTTTATACAGTTAGTTATATTGGTTTAAAATTTATAAAATTTGGGACAAAAAGGCCCAAACCAAAAGAAAAAGAAAAAGAAAAAAAGAAATATAAAAATCAAACAATTATAGATATAAAAGGTTTTAAAAACTATAATACTGGCTCGTATTTAGTATTTAAAAACATTTATTATTATAAAGAAAAAAAAAACAAATTATCTAAAAAGGAAAAGAGTTCACAAATATTAACCGATATTAATGGATATGTAAATCCAGGTGAAATGTTAGCAATAGTGGGTCCACCAGGGTGTGGGAAATCAAATCTATTAAGAATATTAGCAAAAAGAAAAGTAAATGGAGTTTCTGGCGAAATTATAATAGATAATAGGCTTTTAGATGATTATCTATTCAAAAATATTAGCATTGTTGAACGAAAAGACATATTTTTACCAGAGCAAACTGTTAGAGGTCTTTTATCCTTTTCAGTTCATTGTAGAATAAACCACAAAATATTAAAAAAAGAAGAGCGAGAAGAGTTCATAGAGCTATTAATGGATATTTTAAAAATCGAGCATGTTAAAAATTCAAAATTAGGTACATTATCACCTTCCAAAAGAAAAAGAGTATCCATTTGTGTTGGTTTAGCAAATAATCCTTCAATTTTATATTTAGATCAACCCACAATAGGATTATCTCAGTCCAAATCTCTTAAACTCATTAAAGATATTTCCAATATTTGCAAAATATTAAATACAACTATAGTGGCAACCATGCACCAACCGTCATCAACAACATTAGAAAAATTCGACAGTTTATTATTATTGAAAAAAGGTGAAGCTGCTTATTTTGGCCCTATTGGTAGAAACTGCTGCAATGTTTTAAATTATTTTAATCAATATGGTTTCAAAATAAAAAAGTACATGGAACCATTAAAATTTATTTTATCGATTATAAGTGAAGAAACAAATGAGCAATATAGTCCCCAAAGCAATGATGGTATAATAGGTTATAAAAATGAAAGAAAAGGTAGTAGAAAAAGAGTATATGATTTTCAGGTAATAAAAGAGAAAAAAAAATTATTTGATGCAGTAAAAGAATATAAAGAATCAAATATTTATATTGAAGAATTACAGACATTAGAGAACATTGCAATCAATAGAAAGGAATCAGAAATATATGATAAAGGTGTGTATTCTACCACATGGCTCCAACAATTTAGATTGGTTTTCAAGAGGGCATTTAAAAATAGAATTAGAAGGCCAACTGTTTATTTTGCAAATTTTATAAGATCTTTGCTATTTGGTATTTTTTTTGGAACATTATTTATTAGGATGGGGTATGAACAACCTGATGCAAGAGCTAAAGTCAGTTTCTTTTTTTTTTCTTTTTTCTTTGGAACTATGGTTTGTTCTGGTAGTATTCCACATGTAATTTTGGAAAAAAGTAAGTAAAAAAAATATATATATGCACTTTGGTTTATATCTTTTTTAACAAATATATTTTTTTACACAGAAATATATGTAAGAGAGTGTTTATCCAAGTTCTATCATCCAACTGCATATATATCCGCGTTCTTAATTTCTAGTTTACCATTTTCAGTTTCCAACAGTGTAATATTCATTGTACCTTCTTTTTTCTTATCAAACTATGATACTGGTCATCATTCAAGTAAATTTTGGTATTGTGTATTTATATATATACTTACCTTTGTACTGTATGATTTTATGGCGATAACATTAGCTTGTTTGTTAAATAGCAATGTTAGCCAACCGGCATGCATTAATATCATCCTATTAGCAATTTTGTTTGGCGGGTTTTTGGTTATGAAACCAACTCTAGAAAATGGGTATATTTGGGCTCATTACTTAGACTTTTTACTTAGCTATAGTTTAGAAGCAGTAACAACAAATGAATTTCAAGGTTTAACATTCCATTGTCCCAATAATCGAGGTGCTGTTCCTGTTCCTGTAAATGGTAATATCAAATATTATTGTCCAATTACTGATGGTATAAAGTTCGTTAAAAATAAATATGGTTTCAATTTATTTATGCGTTATATTGATATAGCTCCAATTATTGGATCAATATTAATCTTAACTATAATAATTTTCTTTTCTTTAATCAGATTATATAAAAAAAATAAAAAAAATTAAATTTAAAATATATTTATTTAAAAAACTTTAATTATTAACATTTAATTGGTCATTATCATTATTTTCATCCCTATTATTATTATTTATATTATTGTCTATATTATTATTATCCATATCATTTTCTATATTATTATCTATATTACTATCTAAAGTATTGTTATTATTAATATTATTGGTTGATGGTAAATTTAAATTATTTAAAAGTTCTTCTTCTTCTTTATCATTTCTAAACATTCTAAAGTATTTTCCTCTGGCTGCCATTAATTCATCATGGGTACCTTCTTCAATTAAGAAACCTTTTTCCAAAACAAAGATTTTGTCACAATCACGTACAGCAGCCACTTTATGAGCTACCATGATAACTGTATGCCCTTGAGTTAATTTTTTAATACTATTTGTAATGGCTTCTTCACTTTCTGGATCTAACTCTGCTGTGATTTCATCTAATAACATAATCTTTCTTTTGGCACAAATAGCTCTGGCTATTGCAAGTCTTTTCTTTTGACCACCAGACAAGGTATTACCAGCAGTTCCTAAAACGGTTTCATATTTATCCTTTAACTCTTCAATAAACTCATGGGCATTGGCAAGTTTTGAAGCTTCAATAATTTCCTCTTGGGTTGGGTTATCTAGAGCATAGCCAATATTTTCACCAATAGTTGCTTCAAATAAGAGGGCATTCTGGTGAACACATGTTACGAAACCTCTAAGACTACTTGGACGAATTAGTGATGTATCTACACCATCCAATGTAATATTACCTTTTTTAACTTGATAAAATCTTGAAATCAATTCAAATAGTGTTGATTTACCACTACCCGATGGACCTACAATACCATAGCATTTACCAGCTTCGAATTTCATATTTATATTATGAAGAACTTCAATATCTGGACGTGTTGGATAGCTGAATGATATATTTGATAATTCTATTTCACCTCTACATTCTTGTAGTTCAATATAGTTTGTTGGAATTAGAGATACATTTTCATTAACATTGATACCAGTTCTTTTAAAGAATTCCTTTTGTTCTTTTTTCTTTTGTTCTTTAATTTCTTTTTTACTTAATGGAGCTGTAGTACTATCTGCAATTGTTGAAACACCATCTAATGATTCAATACTATTTGGATTATTGTTATTATTTATATCTTCCACATTACTGTTACTTGGGTCCTCTTTTTTAAGTTGATCTAATTTATCACCTCCATCACCTTTATCATCATCACCTTTATCGTCATCGTCATTACCACCTAAACCACGTTGTCTGTCAGCTTCTTCCTCTTCTAATGTAGTTCTCTTTCTTGGTGCAGAACGTAAAATCATAAATACTCTTTTTGAAGCAGCTTGTGATTGAACATAACTGACATAAACACCAAATAGCGACGAGACTGAATCAATAACATAACCAATATAAAGACAAAAAGAAATTAAAAGACCAACAGTAAATTGTTTTTGAACAGCTAAATAGGCCCCATAGTAAAGAATAACAAAGGCTAAACTTTCAACCAATAACCATTTAACAGATGAGGCAAAAGTGTTGTTTACGATAAGTTTTCTGGCAGTAATAAATACATCCATTAAATGCCCTGAATATTTGATGATTTCTTTTTCTTGTCTACAATAATTGGTTACAACATTCATATTTACCATTGACTCTTGTCCATTTTGAGAAGCTTTTGAATTATAAAACAATAAAGTTTTAGTTAACCTTTTAGTAAATTGTGCTTGAATTTGTGTAATGATTGCTAAAACTGGAATGGCTGCAAAGAAAACCAACGATAGCTTCCAGGAGATTGTAAAGATAAAAATTAAACTACCAACAAATTTACAAATACCAGTTGCTATCGATAATAAAATACCAGTTAAAGCGGATCTTAGCATAGGAGTATCTACAATGAGTACATTCATTAAAATGGCTGCATTATTTCTTTGGAAGAATCCCATATCTTGTGCAATTAAGGCTCTGAAAACTTTATTTTGAAGTCTCATAACCATCTTTTCATTTACTATACCAGATATCCACGAACTGATAGTTGAAAAGACAAACTCTATTAAAGCCAAAACAAAAATTAAAATAAAACTACTCTTGAAATCACCAATATGCTTTGTATTTGGTATATCATTAATAATTTGACCAATGTAATAAGGTTGAAGAATGGATGCGGCTGTTGCAACTAATGAACATGCTGTTGAAATTGTAAGCTCTACTATAAATGGTGAAAGTAAATTATAAAGATCTGCTACTGATACTTTGGCATCTTGTGGTTTTGGTCTAATATAAATACCGGTTCCATCATCGAAACGTTTAAAGTTGTCGGTTTTAGCCTCTTTATGTTCTTTATATTTTACCAAAAGGATTAAGCATGTAATTAAAATCATTGTACCCCCAGCAACAATCATAATAATATAATTATATGAAAGAAAAGCATCACAAGTCTTTTTAATTGAGTTATAGTTGTAATTGTTATTACAACTAGCAACTAAACAAACAGTCCATTGATTATTAGCGCCACATGATTTAGTACCGACACCATTTGGAACAGGACATGGTTGAAATTCACCTGGTGCACATTCAGGACATTGATCAGCCCATTCAAAATCACCATTTTCACCATTAAAAACAAATGAGAAATTTTGTGGGCCCAATGGTACATTAGTACCTGTAACTACAAATCTGTAAGAAGTGGAAACGTTTGGATTGTGAATGACACCCTCGACATTGTTGATTGAGTCTTGTAATGGTGAAAGACCGTAAAATGAAGGTCCCCCAAGATTTGAAAGAGAAATTAGAGATGATGAAACACCTTCTTGGTAGATCATTACTAAGAGATCTAAATTATTTACTAAATTGTACTTTGCACCTGCATAAGATGCTGGATCGGTCCACACTAAAGTACCTGTTACAGTTGGTAAACCTGCACTACCATTTGGTTTGTATTTAAAACAATAAGATGTATTGAAACCGGTTGATAAACTCTCTTCTTTCCATTGAGACCCTTTAGTTGTTTCATTTAAACCACCAATTGCCACGAATCTATTTTTTACATCTTTTCCAGTAGAATTTACATAAAGCCAACTTCCCATTCTTAAAGCTCCCCAACCCTGGATATAATCAGCACCTGTAAATGAACCTCCTCCACTGACTGATTGGTATGATCCTGATGATGATAAGTAAAATGTACCATTTAAAAACTTTGCATTGTTGATCATTAAAGCTTTTAATAAAGAACCAGTTGGTTTAATTTTATTTTCCTCTGAAGGTTTACCAGTTGGGTGATAACCTTCAGTTAGATATTGTCTAAGAATAGCAGTTGCGGCAGTAGCAAAAGATGTTGACATTGATGTACCGGACAATGCTAATAATGCATCAGTGTTTGGTAGTGTACCAGTACCACATTGTTGAGTACTATTAGCCCCATTTGATCTAGCAGATGTAATATATTCACCTGGAGCAACTATATCTGGCTTCATACGACCATCATGGGTTGGACCTCTTGATGATGAGCTCATTATATTGTCTTCGTTAAAAAGTACATAGTTTGAACTATTTGAATATGTTTGATTATAACTGAGTTGAATTGAAGCTAGGCAGCATCTTTTAAGGGTTTCCAATGTATTTTGTTCAGCACAACATTGCTGTGGTGTATAGGTACAATACTTATCGTCAAATGCACAAAGTTGTGAAATATAAGAATTTGCTATTGGTAAATAGTTTGAATATACTAAAGTATCTGTGATATATGATTGATGAGCACTTTGTTCTGCACCTACAGTAATAACATTTTTGGCAGTGGCTTGTGATAACAATGCACCATATTGGTCTCCATTACCTGCGGCTCTTAAAATGATGAAATCAGGATGGGTATAGAGAAAATCATCCAACGAAGCAGCACCATCTGAATACTCTCCGAATGGTGTTTGTGGCGATATTGAACCCCACGAATCCCCATGTACTCTTGCACCTGCATCATAAAGGGTTTGATACATTTTGGCATAATCAGCTGGAGGACTAGATAGCTGGGTAGTTGAATCCTTTGAGAGATCATAAAATGCTAATTTTGATTCGTTTGCTAAACCATTAAATTGACCAACTTGCCATGTTGAATCCTGTGGCGAACCAACAGCTGATCCACATACATGAGTACCATGACCATCGACGAAATCTTGATCATCTCCGGAATCGGTATAATAAGCAACGATTTTTCTATGATTTAAATTTACAGTATTATATGGAATTGCGTTATTTGAATCACTGAAAAAGCAATGGCCAGTGTCTAAACCGGTGTCGGCAATACTAATAATTTGACCAGCACCTCTTAATGGGATATCTATCTTATTGTTTTGTACCAATGTTGAATTTTTTGCAAAAACTACAGTTGGTGCAATTCTATTTGCAGAATAATACTTTTCAGCTCTTTCCATAAAGTTACTTTCAGGTTGTTCAGAAATCCATTGATATACTAATTTCTCGGCGCTAACTAAAGAACAGCTATCACTATTAGAGATGCATGAAACAACAGACTTGAATTTCTTTGAGTTAATTGCTTGAATTTCAACTTTAGCATTCAATGGCTTTAAAAAATTAGTTAATGTTGCTTGCCAATTATTTAATATTGAATCACTTGAACCACACAATATAATATACACTGGAATACCAATTGATTTTTGATCAAACTTGATATGAATTTTATTTGATGATTCGAATTCGGCTATCCAAGATACCCATGGCTTATCGAGTAAAGATCTACTTTGTTCAAAGGTCATTACAACTAAAAAACTATCCTGTGGAATATAATTTATAATTGACGATGGATATGGCTGTTCATTTGTAATATGATCAGTAACTACTAAGAAGTCTGATAACTCTTTTCTTGTAATATCATTAATATGATCTGAAAATTGTATTAAATAATGATTTTTCTTATATAAAAATTCTTTATTATTGTTAATATTGCTGTTAATTTTATTATTATTTTTATATGAATCTGAATTTAAACTAATTGATTTTAACAGTCTATTAAAATATGAATAATCTATATTATTGTTATTAATACTCCTATCTCTTATATCATTATTAGTAATTGATTTAAATGATTTTGTATCAATTATTTGATTTCGTAAATATATATTTTTATCTTTTTTTACATGTTTCTGTTGTATTGGTTTTTGTTGATTATTTAATTCAAAAAAATTTAATATACCATATCCATCTCGACCTGTGCTACTATTATCAATAATTTGATATTTTAAACCTAAAAACAATAATAATAGTGATACACCTGACAGTAAAAGTATAATTTTATTTAATGAAAATAAAATTTTCATTTTTTTTTTAAAAAAATTTTTTAAAAAAAATATAAATTAAAAATTAAATTAAAAATACAATTATAATTAAAAAATCTAATAAAAAATAAAAAATATAAATGTTAGATTGGTTCCTTTATTTTTTATTACTATTAAAACTAATAAATAAAAACTTACCTTAATTTTTAAATATATAATTTTAATTTAAAAAAAATTGAAAAACAAATAATTAAATTATCTGTTTATTTAAGAAAAAAAATATAAAATTATTAAAAAAAAAACTTATGTAAATTCTTTTAAAAAGATAAAAAATAAATATTTTAATTTTTTTTTTTAAAAAATTAAACACACAATTTTAATATAATAATAATTATCAATCATAAAATAAATTAATTTTAAAAAAGAACAATATTTAATAGATTGAGTCTAAAATAGAAAAAATATTTATTATAAAAAAAAATAATATTAACCCCTTTTTTTTAAAAAAAAAAAAAAAAAAAAAACCCCCAAATAAATATAATTTAATAACACATTATAAAAAAACCACTCATTTTTAACATCCAAATTAATAATTTTTATACCATATTAAAAAAAAATAACATCTTAAATAAGAGAGAACAAAAAAGATTTATAAAATATATAAAAACTAAGAACATATTAGGTTACACTTAAACAAAAATTTTTATAAATAACTGCCTTTGTGGTTCACTTTTTATGATTAGAATCTTTGATCTTATATAAAGAAAACTCTTATAACTCACCAAAATTTATATTAAAATTAATATAAATTTCGAATTAGTTTATATTATTTTCTGTTCTTTTAAAAAAAAAAAAAAGATAAAAAATAATAAAAAAAAATTAAAATAAAATTAAAATAAAATTAAAATAAAAACAAAAATATATTTTGGTATAGGTTTAAATATTTATTGATTTATTAAGTATCGTTAATTATTATTATTATTTTCATCACTATTATTACCATCAGTATTATTATTTTCATTACTATTATTATTATTATTATTACTATCATTACTATTATTATTGTTTTCATTATTAGTAATTTCATTTCCAGAATCAATACTATTGTTTCTTTCTATTTCTTCATCGGTTGATAAAATTTTTAGTTTCTCATGATCTTCTTCTCCCTCTCTATCGTCTCTAAACATTCTGTGATATTTTCCTTTGAGAGACATTAATTCTTCATGGGAACCTTCTTCAACTAAATGACCTTTATCTAATACAAAAATCTTATCGCAATCACGTACGGCAGCTACTTTATGAGCAACCATGATTACAGTGTGACCTTTAGTTAATTTTTTAATACTATTTGTAACATGCTCTTCACTTTCTGGATCTAATTCTGCAGTGATTTCATCTAATAACATAATCTTTCTTTTAGCACAAATGGATCTTGCAATTGCTATTCTCTTCTTTTGACCACCGGATAATTGACCACCATTTGAATTTAGTAAAGTTTCGTATTTATCTGGTAATTCCTCAATAAATTCATGAGCATTAGCAAGTTTAGCAGCTTCGGTGACTTCTTCTTTAGTTGGTTTATCGAGAGCATAACCAATATTTTCAAAGATGGTTTGTTCAAATAATAATGCATTTTGATGAACACATGTTACAAAACTTCTAAGTACATTTGGTTTAATAAGTTCAATGTTTTGGCCATCGATTAAGAGATCACCTTTTTGTACGTAATAGAAACGAGCGATTAAATCTAAAATGGTTGATTTACCGCTACCTGATGGACCTACAATACCATAACATTTACCAGCTTCAAACTTCATGCTAACATTGACGAGTACTTTAACGTCTGGTCTAAGTGGATAAATGAATGTAACACCTTTTAATTCTATATCGCCTCTGCAATTGTTATAATCCATATAATTGGCCATTGGTTTCATTTCTACAACAGTAAGACCACCATTATTTGTAAATTGACTCTTTTCTTTTGATTTTCTCTTCTTCTTATGTGAAACTTTTTGTGATTCATCATTACTTCCAACACTGATATTATCAATTTGATTGATATTATTTTCACCTCCCTCTCCAACGGAAATTTTGGCGCTAAGTCTTGAAGAATGGAGATCGCCATAACTAAATCCATCAGAGTCAGAGTCAGTTTCGGTATCGAATGCTTTATTTTGATTTCTATGGTATCTGTTGCTATATTCGTCACCACCAGATGATGATGAATCATCCCCGTCATAACTACTACTGGAATCTGATGAGTCTTCTAATCTTTCGTCATCGAGTGTTGCTTTTCTCTTTGGTGCTGAACGTAAAATCATAAATACTCTAGTGGCAGATGCTTGGCATTGTACAAAACTAACATAAACACTGAATAATGTTGTTGATGATTCAATTACATAACCAATGTACAATGAGAACGAAATTAAAAGACCAATGGTAAATTGCTTTTGGATTACTAAGAATGCACCGAAATAAAGAATGACGAATGCTAAACTTTCAACCATTAACCATTTGACGGATGATGCAAAAGTATTATTTACAATGAGTTTTCTAGCAGTTAAATATACATCCATTAAGAGTTCGCCATATTTAACCATTTCTTTTTCTTGCTTACAATAATTGGCAACAACATGAATATTTGTAAATGATTCTTGACCGAGCTGGGAAGCTTTTGAGTTATAATATAACATGATTCTAGTTAATCTTTTAGTGAACTGTGCTTGAATTTGGGTGACAATACCAAGAACTGGTACAGCACCAAAGAAGGCCAAAGATAATTTCCAGGAGATAGTAAAAATGAAAACCAAACTACCAACAAACTTGCAGATTCCAGTTGCTAAATTGATCATAATACCTGTTAATGCGGATCTTAACATTGGAGTATCAACGATGATAATATTCATTAAGGCGGCAGAACCATTACTTTGGAAAAAGATAATATCTTGGGCCATAATAGAACGGAAAACTTTATTTTGGAGTCTCATTACAATTTGTTCGTTTGCAATACCTGATACCCATGAGCTAATAGTTGAGAAAACAAACTCTAGAAAAGCCAAAATGAAAATAATAATAAACTCGGTTCTAAGATCGTTTATACTTTTGGTTGTTGGTACGGCTTGAATAATATTACCAATGTAGAATGGCTGGAGAATTGATGCAGCAGTGGCAACCAATGAACAAGCAGTGGAGAATGCAAGTCTAATAATGAATGGGGAGATTAAACTATAAAGATCTGCAATAGTAATTGGTGATAATGGTGCTTTATCTCTAATGTGAATACCAGTACCATCTTCAGCACGTTTGATAACTTCTCTTTTACTTTCTCTACGTTCCATATATTTAGCTAACAAGATAACACAAATGATGATTGTCATGATACCACCAGCAACAATAATAATGATATAGTTGTATGAAAGGAACTCTTCACAGCTTTGACTAAGAGAGTTGTAATTATAACCGCTGTTACAAGTTTGGACCAAGCATTTTGACCATACGTGATTATTGGTACATGATTTTGTACCAACACCATTTGGAACTGAACAAGTAATATCACTGTCATCTGGACTACATTGACGGCATTCATCAGCCCAGTCGAAATCACCGTTTTCACCATGGAATACAAATGAGAATTTCTGTGGACCCATAGGAACGTTTGTACCTTCGACTAAAAATGAATAAGATGTTGAGCCATTTGGGTAATGAATGATTGTTTCGACATTGTTGATGGTATCAGCTTCTGGATCAGTATCGTTTCTTGATGCACCACCAGAATTAGCGTAAAAAATTTTAGTTGTACTGTTACCATGGATGGTCATTGTGAGATCTAAATTATTTACCAAATTCAATCTTGCACCAGAGTATGATGCTGGATCGGTCCATACTAATGTGGCTACAATTTTAGGGATACCTGTGCTGCCATTTGGTTTAAATGTAAAGCAATATGAGATATTAAAATTTGTTTCGACCTCTGGCTCTTTCCATTCTGTTGGCTTGGCACCATTCTCTAAACCTCCAATTGCTACAAATCTAGTTTTTTCTTTTCCAGTTGATTTTACATACATCCAATTGTTCATTCTAATAGCACCCCAACCTTGAACATAATTGGCACCGACAAATGGATATTCAATACCATTTTTTGGGAAAGTTGATACGGATTCAGCATCGGTGAATTCAAATGTACCATTTAATAGCTGAGCATTATTAATCATTAGTGCTTTTAATAATGAACCGGTTGGTTTAATTTTATTCTCTTCTACTGGTTCACCTGTTGGGTAATAACCTTCGGTTAGATATTGTCTAAGGATTGCTGTTGCTGCGGTTGCCAATGGAGTGGCCATAGATGAACCTTGTAATGCCAATAATGCGTTAGTATTTGGTAATGCACCTGTACCACATTGTTGAGTATTATCTGGACCATTTGATCTTGAAGATGTAATAAATTGACCTGGAGCAACTAAATCAGGCTTCATACGACCATCGTGAGTTGGACCCTTTGATGAAAAGATAGCAATATTATTCTCGTTGTAATATGGAGTATTACTAAATTTATCTATATATGCTTGTTTGATTTCGGCTGGGCAACATTTAAGAAGAACTTTGACTGTGCCCATTTCATTGCAACATTGTTGTGGTGTATAGTCTTTATACTTGTCATCGAATTCGTTATAAATGTAATCTCTCCAGGTAATAAAATCTGCGTCATAATCTAAATAGGATAATGTATCCTCCATAAATGATTGATGTGATGATTGTTCTGCACCTACAGTTATAACATTTTTGGCAGTGGCTTGTGATAACAATGACCCATATTGTTCATTATTACCAGCAGCTCTTAAAATGATGAAATCTGGATGGGTATAGAGGAAATCGTCTATGGAGCCTGCATCGTCTGAATATGCACCAAGATAACCTTGCAATGAAACTGAACCCCATGAATCACCATGTACTCTTGCACCTGCATCATAAAGTGGTTGATACATTTTGGAATAATCGGAAGGTGGAGTTGGATCCTGTGTGGTAGAACCTAGAGCAATATCATAAAATGCCAATTTAGCATCACTTGCTAAACCGCTAAATTGACCAATTTGCCATGTTGAGTCCTCTGGGGTACCAACGGCAGTACCTGAAACATGAGTACCATGACCATTAATGAAATCTTGATCATCACCATAGGTGGAATTGAAATAATAAGCAACGACTTTTCTATGATTTAAATTTACAGTATTATATGGAATTGCGTTATTTGAATCACTGAAAAAGCAATGACCAGTGTCTAAACCAGTATCGGCAATACTAATAATTTGACCAGCACCTCTCAATGGGATATCGTTTCTATCGTTATTAGCAAGAGTTTGATTGGTGGCAAATACAACAGTTGGGGACAATCTATTTGAGGTTAACAACTTTCCAGCACGTTCAATAAAGTTACTTTCAGGTTGTTCTGAAATCCATTGATATACTAATTTCTCGGCGCTAACTAATGAGCAACCAACACTATTAGAGATACATGAAACTACAGACTTGAATTTCTTTGAGTTAATTGCTTGAATTTCGACTTTAGCATTCAATGGCTTTAAATTCCTATCGTTATTTAAAATTGATTGCCATTTATGTGCAAGTAAGTCATTTGAACCACATAATATAATATAAACTGGATGACCAAGTGACTTTTCTTTAAAGTTTAAATGAACCTTATTGGATGGTTCAAGTTCGCCAACCCAAGAAACCCATTTCTTTGATGAAATTAATCTACTTTGTTCAAAAGTCATAACAACTAAGAAGGAATCGTGTGGGATATAATGAATGATGGATGATGCAAATGGTTGTTCTTGACTGATACGACCATCGGTACTGCTAAGGAAATCTACCAATTCGTTCTTTGATTCCTTTGTAATCTTTTCTTTAAATTGAACTAAATAATGGTTCTTTTTAATATAATATTCTTCATGATTTAATTGATCAATCAAAGTCTCTTCTTTATCGCTATCTTCATTAGACTTTAGTACTCTAGAAATTAAGTTTGGGAAATCAATTAAATTTTTATCTTTTTTTGAAATTTGGCTTTTAACCGAGTTTGAATAGGACTTGATTCCTTTTTTGGTATTTGTATTTATGATTTCGTTTCTTAATAATATTTTCTTATTATTGGAGGAGGGAGTATGGGCATTTTTTTGAAAAATTGAATTGAAATAATTTACAGTTGGTTCATCATTAATAACCCTATTAATTTTATTTTTTTCGATTAACTCTAATTTAATACCTAAAAATAAAACCAATAATATTATACCTGATAATATTAATAATTTTGGTATTTTAAATTGTAATTTCATTATAAACAATGAATTTTTTTTTTTTTGCTTTATATAAAAATTATTAATATTTAAAAGTTTTTTTTTTATAAAATATAAAAAAACAACACTTACTTTTTATAATTTTTTTATTTTACAGTTACTATATATATATATGAATTTTAAAATTTTTGAGATATGTACAAGTTGATATATGATTTAAGAATCTAATAAAAAATAAAAATACATAAAATTAATTAATAAATAATGTTACAAATAATAATAATACATGAATTTTGTTAAAAAAAAAAAAAAGAAAGAGAAATAAAATTAATGATTGTGTAATGAGGAGTGTGTTTCTTTTTTAAAAGAAATGAGATTGAAAAAATTTAAAAAAAAATAAAAAATTTTTTATAAAAATATTTTTTTTTATTTATTTTTATATATTTTTTTTTATTGAGGTTATTAAAATTTTGATAAATAAATAAATAAATAATGAAAAAAATGAATAAATGAATGAACAAATGAATGAATGATTGATGATTGAATGATTGAATAATTGAATGATTGAATAATTGAATGATTGAATGATTGAATGGTTGAGTGGTTGAGTGATTGAGTATATGTATGTATTATAAAAAACAAATAAATACCTTTGTGTATTTTTGATTATTAAGTATGTTACAGATAGTATTATTACAATATATGAAAAAAATGATCAAATTTTTTTTTTTTTTTTTTTTTTTTATTTTTTATCCAACAAGATCCAAGAAAATTTTAAAAAAAAAAGAGAAAAAAAAAATAATTTAAAATAAACAAAATTTTAAAAATTAAAAAAAAATAAAAAAAATATTTTTAAAAGAAATAAAATAATATCTGGATGATTATGCCTCTGCCTAATAACAGGTCGCATATAACACAGTAATTTGATGTTGTAACTTTATGTGATTGTGTGTATTTTCTGAAAAACTTAAAAATATAAAATAATAAAATAAAAAAAAAATTAAAAAAAAATTAAAAAAAATTAAAAAAAATAAAAATTATTTTGATTTAATTTTCAAAAATATTTCGAAATTGAAATTAAAATATATAAAAATAACATTACCTTATTATATATTATTTGTAAATATTTGGAATTATATAGTCACAAATTATTATGTATTTAGAAATATTCAAAGCAATGATATTTAGAGTGTGTTAAATCTTTAACATCAAAATAAAAATATAAAAAAAATTTACTCAACACAAACCACTTTTTTATTTTTGTCGAATACTGAAAAAAAAAAAAAAAATTAAAAAAAATAAAAAAAATATTTTGTGTGTTAAAACGATTACAACCAATCATGGTAATTTTTGCATTTTAAAATCTATTTTATTATAATAATTTCTTTACTAAATATGCAAAAGTTTAGCAGTTTTTATAATGCGTTGTTGCTATCATCATATTTTAATATGAGTATAACCGAAATGATTGTCTAATGCAAAAAAAATATATATAAAAAAAATAAATAGCGAAGTTTGACTATCGGTTTTTTTTTTTTTTGTTTTTAATGAAATAATTATACATTAAATTTCTATATAAGAAAAACACGAAATTAAATAAAATTAAATAAAATAAAATAAAATAAAGAGAAAACAAAATTATCTTGTATACACACATTCGGTTTTTTTAAAAATTTTAATTTTTACAGTTTTGTTTATTTATTTATTTATTAATTTATTTATATATTTATTTATTTAGCAAATATTTTTAAATCTGTTATTTATGTTATTATTAAATTCTAAAATTGATGGGATTTTATTCTTATTGTTGTTGATATATGTATTATTATTATTTTTTAATTCTTCGTCTTCTTCACATCTGAGAGCACCACCAATAGACATGAAACTACCAAAAGTAAGAGCCATTTTAAGTGAGGCTTTGCCCATTAATGAAAAAAATTCTCTACCTCTAACACCTCTTGGTAATAACATAAGTGACATATAGATTGCACCCAATGAGGTACCTACTGCAGCACCCATTAAAAAACCCATTTGGATACCTCTTATACATTCACCTGCTGTTTCTTCTTCGCTTTTATAAGTTTTACTTTTTTCATATGATAATCTAGTTGGCATAACCATTTTTAAATTTTATATATCTGTTTTGTATTTTTATTATTATAATAATATTGTAGTTGGGTTATTTATAGTTTTTTTTTTTTGAATATTGATAAAAATAGATTAATTAAGTATATTATAATCTATTTGAAATTATTTATTTTTCGAAAAATGAATGAATAATTAAAATAAAAAAAAAAAAATTAAAAAAATTAAAAAAATTGTGTGAAAATTAAAAAAAAAAAATAAAAAAAAAATAATATAAAAATAATTATTTCGTCAACTTTTTTTATTTTTTATTTTTTTTTATTTTTTTTTTAAATTAATTTAATAATAAAAGTATTTATTTTTATAAATACTAATAATAAAATAATAGTAATAATAATAATTTATTTGTATAGTTATAAATTATGAAGCAATGAGTATACCAGTAACAAGTACTCAAGAATATAAGCAGTTAACTAAAGTTTTAGAAATATTGGAATTACAAAGGGAACAGGTTTTAAAAGATAGAGAATTTATAGAAAATGCATATAAGGAAGCAATTGGAAATCCTGTTGAATATATAGAGTCACTGGTATCTGGGGTATGTTTAATTTCACTTGTAAGAAAGTTAAATATTAATCAGTATTGATACTAATACAGTTTTATTTTTAAAGGCAATTAGATTACCACCCAAAATTAATATCATAAATATACCAGATTTAACTGGTATTTTATTACCCACATATAATAATAAAAATAATAATGTTAGTACTAATAGTAGCAGTGGCAGCATCGGTATTAATAGTAATCAAAGACTTGTAAATAATAATAGTATCAATAAAGAAAATGAAAAAGAAGTTAGAAATGAAATTGTTGTATATAAAAAAAGAATGAACAATCATGATGAAAGTGATAGTAATTTTAAAGAAGGTGAAAATGAGGTTATTAGAAAACCACCAAGGCCCTATCCAAGGGCACTCAGTAAAACAAATTTAGCATACTGGACCGAGGAAGAGCATAATAGATTGGAGGAGTTATTGGTCGAATTCCCAGAAGAGGAGGTCGCAACACATAGATGGGTTAAAATAGCAAATAAACTAGGTAATAGAACTCCAGCACAGGTTGCAAGTCGTACACAAAAATACTTTAAAAAATTAGAAAGATTAGGATTGGAGATTCCTGGTTCAAGACCAAAGAAAAAGCGTAGTGGAAGTATTAGTAGTGGTGGTTTTGAACCACAGTCATCTGAAGATGAAAGGAGATTAGAAATAAAGCAAAGTTCAAATAGTAGTAATTCAAATTCAGCAGCAAATAATAAAAATTCATCATCAAATAGTACAGCCAAAGTTCATGAAGGATATAAATGCGACGGCTGTGATATCGAGCCCATTGTTGGCGTTAGATGGCATTGCGAAGAGTGCATGAATGAGGTAGATTTATGTTCTAAATGCCACGATGAATTGGATGAGATCGGAAAACATCTATCATCACATCACATGACTGCTTTTGAAAATCCAGATTCATATTTCTTGGATGATGACTACAAATATACATATCCAACTGGCGAGTCAAATTATTTAGATCCAAATTATAGATAGAAAATTATAAAAACAATAAACTATTTAAATTTTGTACATTAATAAATTTATTAATAAAATTTTTTTTTTAATAAATAAATAAAATATAAAAGGTTTTTTTCTTTTGGTTTTTAATATAACATAATTTTTTATTTTAATTTTGTTTACAATGAGGAACATCTAGCATATCGGTTAAATAGGCACCAACATTTTCATCGACAGGTACTTGGTTTTCATTTTCTGATGGTTGATTGTTATTTTTGTTTGGTGAAGCAGCAGGTTTATCAATGGGTGGTGCAGCAGCAGGTTTATTAATGGGTGGTGCAGCAGCAGGTTTATCAATGGGTGGTGCAGGTTTGGCGGGTATATTGCTTGGTGGTCGAGTTTGAATGGTATTGTTTTTGAGTTTTGTTATATAATTACTATTATTATAATCACTATTATTATAAAGATTATTATTATTATTATTAATAGTAGTATTGTTATTATTATTAATATTAGTAGTAGTGGTATTGTTATTATTATTATTATTATAACTACTATTATTATAAAGATTATTATTATTATTATTAATAGTAGTATCGTTATTATTATTATTATTAGTAGTAGTATTGTTATTATTATTATTATTAGTAGTATTAGTAGTATTAGTAGTATTAGTAGTATTGTTATTATTATTTTTATTTTTATTTTTTTTTCCAAATTTTTTATCAGCCAAATCACCTATGTTTTCTAATACTTTAATGAAATCGCTGTATTTTTCTTTGTCACTTGCGCTCATATCATGTGGGATTTTTTTTTTATTATTATTGTTTTTGTTTTTATTCCTTTTGGTAGGGTTGGCTTCCCAGCAGAATTTTTTTGTTTGGCTAATATGTTGTTTTGGGTATAGGTCCCACTGGTAGCAAATAAGGTGATTTTGAGTTGATTTTAATGGGTGAGAGATATCGTTATATAGGTTTACAGAGTTTGCAGATAGTTTGTTGGTTACAAATTCATCTACTAAAATACATCTATGATAGCACCAGTGGAAATTGTATTTAATTTCATTGTACATTGGATTGAAACAATTTTTTTCATTTTTTATGAAATCTATACATTCTTCATGAGAGTAGTCCCTTTCGAAAATGGCTTTTAATTGTGAGGCCCTAAATCCAGTGGCATATTGATATTCTTTAGTGGTTTCTTCTTCTTCTTTTTTTTTTTCTTCTTTTTCTTCTTTTTCTTCTTCATCATCATCATCAGAGCTATAAAGATTATCTTCCTCATGGTCTATGAATTCGTCATCATCATTGTCATCATCTGATAGTGAGATGTCTTTTAGATTTATAAATGGTGAAATATAGTCATCTTCTGATTTCGTTTTATAATATAATATTTCTTCTTTTGTTTTTCCGTCATAGTCAAACGTATATTTCTTATTATTGAATTTTATTGATAGTTTTCTTTTTTTTTTAAGGATATTTTCACTATCTTCCTCATCAGAGCTGATATCAACAAAAACATCTCTATAATAAAGTTCCTTTTTTTTATTTGGGTCTACATTTCTAAAGTAATCGTCTAAATATACATCATTAGGTAAATCAGTGACAGTATTATTAATTTTGGTTTCATCTGTAATATTTTAAAACTATTAGTGTTATTAATTAAAACAAATCATTCACTATCATGAGATATATTTTTGCAAAAAATACTTGCTTTTCGGAATATCTTTTATTACAATTTGCCCATCTTCGTTTACTTGTATTTGATTAAGATCAGTTAAGTGTTTTTCATTTTTGTTGATTCCTTTCAAAGCATAGTAATAATCGTCTTCATCGCCATCATCATAACTGTTGTCGCTATCAGAGTCAGAGTATTCATCATAGTATTCGTCATAATCATCATAAAATTCACTATTTATAAAATAATCATAGTCACTTTCTAAATCTTTTTCTTCTCCACCACTGTATTTACATTTTACTATTTCATTTTTACATTCGGGACATTTTGTTGAACTCTTGGGGGGTAAATTAGTTGATGTTTAATATTTATATTACCAAAATATATTAAAGTTATATCTTACTTTACTGTGTGCACTTATACACTCAAAACAAAATGAGTGGTTGCATCCTTCTATAGTAACCAGATTGTGTTTCTTCTTACATAGTCCGCATTTAATTATGCTACTCTGTTGAGCTGACTGGGACATTCTAAAGGATCTATAAATTGAATTGGACTAATTGGGTAAAAATATTATCAATTAAATTGTTTAATGTTTATTTTATTATAAATTTAAAAATTAAAAAAAAAAAATTAAAAAAAAAAAATTTTATTTTTAATTTTTTTTTCATTTTTTTTATAAATTTTCTTAATTTTGGAAATTGTTTAATTTAATTTTTATTTTAAATATAAAAATAAAAATAAAAACAAAAATAAAATATAAATAAATAAAAATAATTAAATAATAATATGTATATATATAAATCTTTTTAGTCTATTATAGCATATTATTTTTTTATTTTTAATTTTTATTATAATAATAAATTTTAATAAACCCAATATTAATAATAAAAATAAACTAAAGGCAATAACAATAAACAATAAATAATATTATCTTATTTATATAATATTAAATATAACTATTTTTTATTTTATTTTTATTTTCGATCCCCAATGTTTGAATCACATTTAAATGATTTAATAGAAAATACTATGAATGATGAAAATGCAAATATTTACAAGACGTCAAAGAAAATCGAACATTCAAGAGGTGGTTTAAAAGATTTAATAGTACATCCAAGTAGTGGTAGTGGAAGTGGTTCACCTAAAACAAATATTTCAACACCAACAAGTAATAATAGCAGTGGAAGTAGTACACCTAAAACAAGTATTTCAACAGTATCTTCACATCAATCAGTTGCTAAAACTGCGAATTCTTCATCAATTAAATCAACTCAGATAAAAAGCCAATCATTAAGAGAGGTTTTAGAGGAATGGAGATCAGAGTTTTATCCAAATTTAACCTATGATGATTTCAATGAAAATTTAAAACCGGTTAATAATAATTTAGCAAACAAATCAAAAAAGAATGGCGATGATATAGACACCGACGAAGATGAAGAGGATGAGGTTAGTGATAATGAAAGTACCAGCAGCAGTAGCAGTGGCAGTAGCAGTAGCAGCAATAGTACCAAGGGCAATGATTATAACGGAAATATTAATTATCACGAATATTTAGAAAACAATAATATGCTCGGTGGTTTTAGGTTGGAAGAAAATAATGAAAACGAAGAAAAAGAAGAGAATGAAGAAATTGATCAAGAGTCAGCAGATAGTCTTGAGGAATCAACAAACCAAACATTACAAAATTCAAGTTTATTAGAGCAAAGAGTCAAACAATGGATGAAAGATATTCATTTCGATATAGACCAATCATCTAAAATTTTTTTAAATCAATTACCTCCACAAATTTTCGAATCACCTCAATTAGGTTCTATTGGAAGTGATTTACCAATGACTCCTTCAACAAAAGAATCACCAAATCCAAACTCAAACTCAAAAAATCAATTTGATTTATGGAGAGAAAATTTTAACAAGTCCATGGATGAAAAAATGTTAGAAAAGAAAAGGACAAATAAAATAACAATCACTTCAAATAAACAATAATAAAAGTTTTTTAAGAAATAAAAGAGTAAATTTTAAAAAAACATTTATTTTAATTTAATTTCTTTTAATTGATTCATAAGATGGAAAGTTGTAATCGGTTTTAATATAATTAATAGTTCTGATGTTAATTCATCCCAACCACTTTCATCAGTGATAATCATACTGATTAGTGATTCAAAACCTAATTCTTCCACAACTTTGTTTTTATCTTCTCCTATTATGCAATCGAGAAAAGTATTAAATGTATGGGAACATTGAAGATCTAATGGTTCGGGGAATTGATATTCTTTCTTTATATTTTGAGGCACTTCTAATTTTGTAAGATTAATTAATTCGTTTCTTTTGGCTAATGGAATTTTTACTGATAGCCAATCTTCTTTCTTTAAATTTAAAACAACTGAAAAACAATCTATACCCAAGTCGGTCAAATTCTTTTTAAAATCATCAGCAAATTTGGTTTTTTCATTTAAAAATTTAATAAATAATTCTCTATCATATAGATTAAATAAATTATAGCTTGTTTCTGTAGTTGTAGTTGTAGTTGGAGTTGGGGTTGTCGAGTCTGAGTCTTGTTTGTTATTGTTAAACGAGGCTATTGAGGTTTGGGGTATAGATCTTGGAGATTGAATTTTTTCATTTTTAAGAATTGGGGTCAATGGTGATTGCATAGAACTAGTGGTATCTTCTTTTTGGATTGATGTATTAACTAGAGTGGTTATAATACTTGGTATAGTAATATTATCATTTTTAATTATATTTGGTTGATTCTGAGGTGATTCTTTTTTGATAATATTGCTTGAGGATAAAATGGATAAATTCTTTGTGTTTCTATTAATAATAAAGTTTTCTTTAGGGGATGCTTTATTAATAGTCTCCATTGGTCTTTGTTTAAATTCCCAATTTGGTTCTTGATATTGTTCTTTACTAATATGGTTATTTGTGTAATTAGATTTTAGGTGAAGATGTGTAAGTGTTTTAACCAATGATCTCATGAAGAGTGGGTAATAGCAAATTGGTAAATTAATTGAAAAGTCATAAATTAATGATGAATTTATAAAGCTATCGGCTAAATCTTTAAATTTAATCTTTTGATTTGATACCAATTGTTTGACTTGAGATAAGGACATTGATGTAATAATACCACTTAAAGTTTCGACCCATTGATAGAGATATTTTGGATTTGTCTCGATAGAGGAAATAATTTTAATTTCGATTTGATTAATGTTGTCTACATGGATTTCATCTAGTGTTTTAGGCTCGTGAATAATTCCAGTATATAATCTATCAAAGATACTACAGTTGTTGATAACATGTTTGGCTATTTGGAAAATTGATGAAATTGGAGTAATTTCAATAAGTTTTATAAATTCTTCTGGCAACAATGAATGGATAACAGGATTTAGTGGATTAAATTCCGAAATTTTCTTTGAAAGAATTGCAATACCATTGTTATGGTTATCGAGGTTGGTAAAAAGTAGAATTGATTCAACTAAATATTCAGAAATTGAAGTTAATTGATTAAATGGGATAGTTTTACAAATTTCTTTAAATTCTTCATCGTGGAATTGAGTTGATAGATCATATTCTAAACCATTATTTAATAATTGTTTTAATGTTTTTATTGTATCTGGATAAATATTATCATTGTTAATGATAGATTGTTGTGACAAGGAATTATTTGATGTTGTTTTCTTCCAGCTAAATGGGAATTCTTCATTTAATAAGTTTGATTTGATATCTGGTAGTAGTTTCTTTTGAGAAATAAAGTTTGCAATAATTTTATTTTGGATTATAATTGAATCTTGGTTAAGTTGTTGTTGATCTTTTTTGTAATAACTCTTGATGTCATTTAAAAATCTAAAGTACTCTAGGAAATTTGAACCAATATAGTTTCTGAATTGATTTTTTAATTGTAAACCGAAAATTTGTTTAAATTGGATTCTAATGTATGATTCATTTTCATTTAAATAGTTGTCTTTTGTTAAAAGTAAATCTCTAACTATATTTTTCCATTCTTCAATTTGATTGCTTAAAATGTCTTTGATTAATTTATTATTATTATTACTACTCGAAAAACCACCAATAAAACTATAATGACAAACAATTGATGATATAGGTAATTCATCTTGAAGTAATTGGCTTGTGTTGTTACTATTGATAAGTAATAAATATTCATTGAATGACTCTTTACATTGGTTCCAAGAGTTTAGTAATGGTGAAATTGATTCTTTACTTTCGAATGATTCTAATAAATATTCGAATGCTTCTCCAATAGTTTTATGAATATAATCTCTTGGTAATCTCTTGAAAAAGAATTTCCTAAATAATGTTAAGAATTTGATAATCTTTGGGAAATATGTTGATAATGAAAGTGTTTTTAAATTTTCTTCAAAGAATTTCATTAGTTTAAACTCTTGATTAAATAGTTCACTATCAATAAAGTTATTTGGTTGCAACCATTTAGCATTGGAGCCTGTTTTTGGTTCTTGATAACGGTAAATAAAATTGTTGTTCTTATCAGTTGTTTCCCGGTCATCAACAAATGATTTAATAATGTTGATCAAAAGAAGGTAGGTTTCATTATCTGTTTGGTGGAGTTTTGAAATATTTGATAAACCTAATAAATCTAAGAGATCTTGATTGTTTAAAAGGATGTCTAAATGCTTTTCACTGATATATTTTAATTCGTTTAAAAGGTATAGTTGATTAAAAAGATTTTGGATATAATTATTTTCGTTATCTGGATTGAGTATAAATGTAAGATATAAAGAATCTTTAAATGTTGAGATGTTATTTTTTAATAATTTCTCGTTAATTTCATTATTATTGATACCAGAATAGCAAATATAAAGATGGTCAATTAATCTATCCATTAAATTTCGAGAGATGACAATAGATTTCATTTTTGAAAACGGTGTTTCCTCTTTAAGTTGATATTTGATTAAGTCATTTATATTAACTTTCTCTTGGGTAATAGTATTGTTGCCATTTTGACTGTTTCTTGATACTTCTAAAAGAGAACGATAAAGGGCTTGAATTAATGGATAGTTGTTTGGAGCAACAAATCTATATTGGGTTACTATTCTAATATTGAACCAATCAAAATGGTTTAAATAAATTTCTGGGATGAATGTCATTGGTTCGATTGTATCTTTAATTTTCATAAATATATCTTCAATTTCGTTTGTGGTAGTCTTTTCAAATACATCACAGATAACTTGTTTGATCCAATCGTCTGGTAAAAGATGGTGATAAAGTTGAGAGTTGTATATCATTAAGAATTCTGTAATGTTTTGAATTTTAAGAGGAATAATTGGTTTGAGTATATTTAACATTAAGTGTTTTTTCGATTTGCATTTATCAAAAATTTCAGTAAATGAAAGATTATACTGGGTGAGGAAATCATTTTTGTTTGTGCTTTCTTGATTAATGAAAATTGATAATGCAATTTGATAGTTGTAATGAATATTAATTGCTTTTGATAAAAATGAAATTTCTTGATCTTCATTGTTTTCAATGGTGTTGTTGGTGTTTGTTGACTCTGATGGTTGCTCTAAAAGTTTAAGGTTTTTGAATATATCATTCATTGAGATTATATTAAATATGATTGATAATTCCATTGTCCAATCCCCTAATGACGAAATAAATTCATCAATAGGTTTCTTTTTATCATTATAAAATTCTAAAAATCTTGAATCGAAACGTTTGACGATAAGCTTGATAATCTCCATTTGAATTAAAGTTTCATTATATGGATTACTTTTGATACTTGCTAAAAGTTCTTTTTGTAATTGGTCCCTATTCTTTTTGTTATCTTTTTCGAATATGCTATAAAGACAATCGGTAATATCATTTAAGAAAGCAATTAGGGGTTGTTGGTAGTGCAAAAGGACAAAGTATTTAAGGAAGGAATGGCCATTGATTTGTTTTGTCAATAAATCGATTATATCTCTGAATAGTTTCATCCATTTACTTGGTTTTAAGATTTTTAATGATCTAATTACAAAATCTTCAACAAATGAATCCCTAATTTCTTCATTTTCTTCTATAAATTTAACCAATTCATTAAATGGAGGAATGGATTGAATGGATTCCTCTAAACGTTTCATTAGTTCTTTTGGTTTAATTTCGTGATGGTTATTATTATTGACTTTCTTTGACTGTTGGTTTATAATTTGTTCGATTTGGTTTTGAATAAAATCGGAAATAGAGTCATATAGGGGTATATTTGATTCTTTATAATGGTAATTAATTATAATTTGTTCGAATCTACTCTTTTCAATTATGTCCAATGAAATTGGCTTTTCATTAAATCTTATACTCTTGATAAATAATAAAATTAAATTTTCTTGGTCGCTATCCACTTCAATCGATTTTAATTGTGAAATGTTTTGCTGTGAAAGAATTGAATGTAAAACTTTAAATACAATTGGTTGAAGGTATCTATTTAATGTTTCTTTAATTGAGTCTGATAATGATTTACCCATAGAATAACCGCTTAGAATCATTTGAGAGCAATCTGATACAATAGTATGGAAAACATTATAGTTTTTATTTGATGATAATGCAGGTTCGCTCTTGGTCATAAAAAGTTTAATTATCTCCTTACACCAAACTGGATGTTTACTAAAAATTTCGTAAATATCTTCTTTTATCTCGAAAACATCGAAAGAGGTTTCGTCATCTTCATTTGGGTTATTGTTATCTGTGGTTAAGTTGTACTCTTCTTCATATTCAGAGTCAAATTTGATATTGATTTGTTTAATAATATCATTAATTTGATGTAAAAGTGATTTTTCTAAAATTGAATAGATAGATTCAATATTTAAATTGATATCTAAGCCACATCCTTTAGCAATCCATGAACGAACATCCGAGTCTATAGAGTCATTGTAGTCTTTTGAGGGACCCAAAAATGATGAATTTGAAATGGATGAGGACGATTCATTGCTGCCAATTGAAAGTGGGTCTTTTGAGTCAAATTTAACACCGAGAGAGTCTACATAAAGATAATCCATTTGATGGAGGTAGTTAACACCAAATTTAACTTGATTGGAAATCCAAAGTTCGTGGGGATAATGGCAAATAATAACAACATTCTTTTTGTGAGATTCTACTACAGATTTATCTAAATGATTTGTAATAAAGTTAATTTGGGAATTTGTAATTTCATTCATATCGGCAACAAAAATTGCAGTTTGAATTTCATTTTCGTTATTTCCCAAAAATTCATTATTTAAAAATTCATTAAATTTCTTTTTAAATGAAAAGCTTGATTTAAAACTATTATATTGGAATACTTTGAAAAGTTTTTTAAATCTAATATTTGAATTAAAGTTTGGTATATTTTGATTTTTATAATATTCTAAATTTAATAGCTCTTCATTAATATTAAAGAGGTCAATCGATGATCTTGTATAAATAGTGTAGATTGACGATTTGTTTGTACAATGTGGCTGTTGTAATTGTTGTAAAAATCTAAATATACTAAAATGCTCCTGACCTAATAAATACTCTTTGATATAGTTTGAAGGTAAAAAGTTTGAATGAAAAATGGTATCCGGTTTACCAAGTTGAAGTAATTTCAAATTAATTTGACCTATTGGTGATAGTGAGTCATTAATATCTGAAATATATGAACTATAATATTTCTTTTCATTGTTTTTGCCATCATTTGATTTGCTATTAAGATTGAATTTAATATAGCTATAGATGATAGAGGTTATGGTTTCTTTTTCTTGGTAACCATATAGATAATGTTTTTCGTTTTGGTTAAAATGGGATATTAATTGATTACTTGAATTCAATAAATTGTGATAGATATCTTTGTCGAATTGAGTGCAATTATTTTCGAGGAAATAACGTATATAGGTTTCGGTTGTAACAAAATATTTTTCGAAACGATTAAGCCAAGGAAGTTGCACATTTTTAATATTTGAGAGCGGTTGTAAAACAATAATTTTGAAATTTGGATGAACCTTTTGATGTGCAGTATGAGTACCAAATGAAATAGTAGCCCAAAGTGAAGTTTCATTATCTGCTGAAGAAAGGGTAATAAAGTACCTATTAAAGACATCGTAGAAACATTGATCAATGATAGAGGTATTAACCATAATAACAGTACCACCACAAGACATTTCTTTTTTAATTTCAGAGAATAGATCTACTAAAGAGCTAATGGTTTGGTCATCTTTAAAGCCACCAACACGAATAACCTTTGGATTTGAAGATATTTCTCTTAAGATTCTTAAAGATGATTCATTATTGGATGGGTCAATAACCATAATGAAACGAAAAGCAGAATTGTTTGGATTATTTGTTAAATCTAGTTTTTCACTTAAGGATTCTTTAATTCTTATAATTGTATTTTCTGTATTTAGTAAAGAAGCGATTGATTTACTCTTTGTATCGAAACCAAATTCTCTGAGGAATAGCGATGAGAGCTCTTTGAATTTGTTGAATGGAATACCATTAAAGTTTCTTTCTAATGACTCCATCAAAATTTCTGGTGTAATAATTGTAGTGTCAAGTACTTCTAATGTTCTATTAAGATGACGTAGGAAAAATACAAAATCTCTTTGGTGGAATAGATTGGGCTTAGTATCTTTGGTGAAGTGATTTGATAGTCTATAACCTTTACATAAAGCTTGGGTAATTTTGAGTTGTTCTTTTTTATCGCTTATTTTCTGGATCATAGGTAAACAAGTATATACTAAAATTTCTTCATCTTTTTCGTGGATGGTATCTGAATGGAAGAGAATTAACATTCTATTATTTTTTGCAGCATCTAAAATTTTATTTGATAAGATAATGGTTTCAATATTACTAATATTTTGGTCAGTTGACATATGTTGTTCTTTATCTAAATAACCATGGAGAATTTTTAATGGCGAGTGATTTTGATATTCATTAATTAAACCAGCTTCATCAAGAAAAACTACATGTTTAGTCATTTGGAAAAAGTCTTGATGCCCTATAGCTTGTGTATATTTAGCTTTGATTTCTTCATCCGAGGTATGAGGAGTGCATTGATATTTTAATGTATATATACTTGACATATCAACAAAACCATTATTGTAGTCGAATTGTTTATTCTTTATATTTGTAATTTTACCGCCTATGGTAGTTGATAAAGAAGAGTGTAAGACTTGCGATGAAGATAATGATTGAGTTTGTGGTTGTGTTTGTTGAGATGAATTACCAATATTATTATCGTTCATTATATCAATAACTAATGATACTGCTAATGTTTTGCTATTGCCTGGTGGACCAATGATAAGTAAAGGAATTGAAGAATTTATTGAAATTATCATTGTAAAAATATTTAGTTGTAATGATTGAGTAAGAGCGACACCCTTTGGGATTTTTGATTTTATCTTTTCTGAAAATGCTCTTAATACTTCTTTGCATACCTTTGAGAAGCCAATAGCTTTGTTCTTATTTTGATTGTTTGATTTATAGGACAATAAATTTGGAGGTAATAGTTTATTGAAACAGTTATTTAAAACCTCTTTGAATTTCTTTCTATATACAACAGGAATACGAAGATAGTAGGCAACAAAAACAGTAGCTATAATTGATAACCAATGTAAATAATCTTTGTTTAAAAGATGTGTTGGTACTACGTATTGGGGAACATTTATCCCAGATGATGAGCTTGACAATGATAGATTTAAAGTTTGTTGTTTATTTTTTTCTAAAAAGAAAATTGATCTTTCTTCATCAGAAAAGAAACTAGTTGATATAAGCATTTGTACACCAATGGAGTGAGTTGTAAAGAATTCGTAGAGTTTGGATACTCTCATTATATCACGAATTGAGGGATGAATTTTACTATTGATAATAAATGGGTTTCTGAGGAAAGATTGACATTCGATTATGATTGTCTTTAAATGTCTACTATATTCTTTGTCTAAATCATTATGTTTGATTTCAAATAAACATTCTAAGAAAGGAATTTCATTTTCTTCTTTAAATTGACCAAAATTAAATATGATTTTGTTCATTGATGGCGGAGTTGGTTGAACCATAAACACATGATCACGTTGTGGATCATTATCATCAACACCTGTGAAATCTAATAGTGGGTTTAGTTCTTTATTAAACAATAATTCTGAATCATTTGATGTGGATGAAACTGTTGGAATTGAACTTGATGATGCTGATAGTGAAATGCTATTTGATTCATTTTGAATAATGTTGTTATTAAGTTTTGTTAGAGGATTCATGGCACCAATAAAGTAAACGTTTGAAGGTATTGGTACACCATCACAAGACTTATCCATAAATATTTCATTAATTAAAGATAAGGTGTCTGTTGGACTGGTATTGAATTCATCAATAAATACTAAGATCTTGATATCGCTTTTCATTGTTAATAAATGATTGGCATCGACAAAGATACCATCTAATGCTTGTTTGAATTGAATTGAGGTGAATTTGAGATGCATTATAAATCTGTGATAGACTTTGATGTAATTTAGTTGGTTACAGGCTAATTTCGAGAACATTTTAGCATCGTCTAATGAAACAGCTCTATACATATACTTTTGACGGTAATATTCTAATTGTGGATGGTTTTTATGAACTAAATGATTCTTATCTAAGAGTTTTAAAATAAACTCTACCAAACCATTTAATAGATCTTTTGCAGCAATTGGCTTCTCTTTAAATAGATCGTCTATTACTTCAGGAATACGATGAAGATGAGCTATACTTTTAATCTTTGGTGTGACAGATTCACGTTTATCAATAATTTTGTTTATTTCATCTACCAATTTAGCATTAAAATCTTTTTGGGTTTCTTCTACATATTGGAAATTGAGAATTAAAGAATAGAAATGAAGCATTTTAGTTTTACCCACACCCGTGTCACCATTTAGAACAACTGATTTACCAGATCTAAGACGATCATGTAGAATAATTAGTCTGAGGGCAAACTCTGGTGTTAAAATATAGCCTGAATCGGAACATATCTTTGAGATGATCATACTGTTATTATTGTCGTATATTTTAAAGAATTTAGCAACTAATTTGAAGAATTCGTCTCTTTTTTCAACAGATTTTTTAAGATTAAAAATATGTGGTTTCCATTCCTCTTCAATTAAATTGAGAGCTGAATATTTGTCAACTACTTTTGAGTAATTTTCCATATTGTTATCGAAATCTATAAATTCTAATGGATGGACATTGGTGGCTTCAACTCTATCTTTAAGAATTCGAACTTTTTGAATCATATTTAAATGGGTCTTTGAAATGGTTGGTGGATTACTCCAAATATTTTTACTTGAAACAATTGAAAAGTTAGGACATGATAGCATTAGACATTCTAAAAGGATCCATGGAAGTAGATTACCGATATTACCGCAATGGCCAATGGAGCTGTCAATGTAAACGTCCATGTAGTTTAGTTTTTCTGACAGTAAAGTAAAGAATATTTTTCTTTCGTGTAAAAAATTGTTGTTTGATAAGAAATGAGTGTATGGTAATATTTTTGATTCCCATTGTTGTGGAAATTGCTTTACTAATAATGTTTTGAGGTCATTAATAAACTCGACTAGACCATAACCCTCTTTATCCATGGCACTGGTGTTAACAAGCTGTGGTTTTTGATAAAACTCTATTGTACCTTCATAGTCAAAATTGAAATCTTTTAGGTAATATAGATAACGGAAACATTTCTTTTCTAAATCACTAATTTTCCATGGTTTTGTTGAGTCTTGAACTTTGCCAATATTGTAAAGGAATGGAATTGATTTTTTAACATATTTTTCATATGAAATTTGATTATTTGATTGTAAGTCATTTGGTAAACCAGTTTCATCTAACATAGAGCCCACTTCCACATAAATGTCCAATAAAAATCTACCGGATAGGTTGAAAATATCACCATTTTCGGCAACAATGAAACCATAGGTAATTAATGGGTAGATAAAGATGTTAAAGCTATTAAAGTCATAGAAACTTGAAATATAAATATAAAGAGATACCCTTTGGATACCAATATTATTCTTCAACAAGCCAGTTAACTGATCAATTAAATTGCTGCAGTTCCATTTGGGTCTAATATGAACCTGAATAAATACAGAATTCTCTTTGTTTGATTTTTCACTAATTTCTGATTGAATATAATATGTTTTACCATTACCAATTAAAATCGATAAAGAATTAATGCCAACTGTAGTATGGACCAAAGACCAATAGTTCTTAAAACAGCTCCAATCAGCACCTTTAACTTCAATCTGTTTGATATTATTAAAAAATTCAACCAATTCTCTATTTTCGGTTGTTACAATATAAATTTTACTTTGTTGGATACTATTTGGTGATGAACTTCCGATTGAGGAAAAATATTTTTTAGAGATCCAAATAAATAATTCATCCTTGTTTTGTGGTATACCAATTAAAAAGTAATTTAAATTTAAATTTAATGCTTGGATTTCATTAAAATAATTGAAGTCGAATGATTCATTTGGTGAGGTATAGAGTAGCTGTGATGGATGTGGTGCTTTATTATTATTTGCTAAAAATAATGAATTGTATAAATTTTCAAAGCTATCACATTTTAAAATTATTAAGTTTGATGATGAGGAGTTAATGATTGAAGTTGATGTTGGTGCCTGTATTGTAGAACATGAGGATGAAGATAATATTTGAGATGATCTTTTATCACTTGATGGATTTAATTCGAAATTAAATTTTAATTTGAGTTCTGGTTCTAAGAAATTGAAAAATATCTTTAAAAATTCAAATGTATCTTTAGTTGATTTTAGTAAGATGTTCTTGTTTATAGTTGTAAAGATTAAGGCCTCATCAATTTCTATTAATGGGAAACAATACTTGACGAATGGATATATTAATGAACTGAATATATAGGCATTATCTTTTGACATGGTTTCTTGGTTTTGAGTTATAAAAATAGTATTTAAATATTTGTCAACCTTTGAATAAAATGAAGAAATGCCCTTCTTTTTGAGTAATAAAAGTTGTGATGGTAAATCCTTCATTTTATCTCTCCAGTCTTTGCAGTCGGCTTTAAGATCAACGATCTTTTTACAAAGTGATAATGGGTTTGTATCTTCTAAACTACAATCTATAATAACTTCAATTTCGCCATTTGGATAACCTGGATGATAAATTGAATCGAGTTGTAAATGAATTTTATGAATCTTTCTAATATTGAGGTAAAGCTTTCTAAATTGTTCAAAATAACCCTCTTTATCAGTTAATGAGCCTAACTCTAAACCACGATATAAATCATCAATTAAATCTTGACCATAAGTAACAGTAGAACCATGTGCTTGAATAAACCAACCGGGTTGACCATTAGTTGTATATGAAATGAATTTTGACTTCTCTTTAATAATTAATTGAACAATTTTGACAATATTCTTTGAATCATCTAAAGTATATGATTCGAAAATAACTTTAATCTTTTCAATATTTTTAGATACGGTTTGTAAAATACTGTAAGATGATGGTGCTTCATTTGTGAAACTTGTTTCAAAGAACTGGGAAACTGTTGAAAATATAGTTTTGCTTACTGTTGGAACACTACTTTCTTGCTCGTTTTTTAAAGATCTTTTATAAACTCTATAGTATTGAACGAAACGATGAATCGATTTAAAAGCATAATCTGCATTGTTAATTAAATTACTATTCTCTGATCTATCCAATTCCATAGATATACGATCATTAATCATTTGACATTGGGACACGAAATTTTGAATATCATTAAACTTTGAGAACCAATCTAACAACTGTTTGTTTATACCTTGAAATAATTGTAGGTGATAAATTGAGTTTAAACCACCAACCAAACTGGAAATTTTATTTTCAATATCTTGGGAAACTTTACTTGTCACAAACTTTTCATTCTTTAACATTTCCACTTGCTTATTAAAATCTTCCATATTTGAAATAACTAAATAATTTGACTCTCTTGAGACATAATTTGTAAAATGGTCAATATCTCTACAAAAAACAAAATATCTTTTTGAATTATCAAATATTTTAATAATTTCTTGATAAACCTTATCAAACTCTTCTTGGTCTTCATCTTGTTGATCTAGTTGTGGGGGTGATGGTACCTGAGAGCTATTTAAACTACTATTTAAATAATTTAAATTGGTGCTACTATGATTCAAGCTAATATTTTTTGAATATAAATAATTGTATATTAATATAACTTCTCGTTTGAAATCAATTGATGAGTCATTGATAATTTTTTCGAACAATGGATTCATCGAAATTTTAATTGAATCTATATCTGATTTTGGAACCAATTGTTGAAAGAATTTCTTTAAAGATACTATAATTGAGTTTAAATTCTTTTCTTCTAATGCATACTCCTCAAAGAGAATATTAAAAACTATGGATCTGTGTAATCTAAAATAACCAATAAATTGAATACTTTCTAATATGTCTCCAGTGCTGTGTCTATAATATTTGCTTATCATTGAAGATTCGTTACTACCAAGAGAAATACCAGCAACGCTAAGACTATTTGTATCACTTCCATCACCTCCATTTTCTTCATCTTCGCTTTCACTGTTGCCACTACTATTATTACTACCATTACTACTTGAACTAACAGTTGATTTTGAAATAGTTTGAATTAATTTTAATGGTTTAAAAGATTTCTTTACTGAGGTATTTCCAAACATAAAAATGGAACCATCTTCTAATGTTCTTTTCTTGAAAAGATTAGTGTATGAAGAAATTTGAGAGCTTAGCTTTCTTGGTTCAATAATAAACTGTTTAATATTAAAACCGAACCTTCTCATATATTCTGTGTACTTTTTAAAAAGAGGGTAAAGTTTTTTATCATTATGATAATCATACTCTAATTCACTAATTTCTGGAAACTTTGTAATAACTTTAAATAATTGACCATCACGTAATAGAGACACTAAACCTTGATACTCTTGACCAAAACTTGGCTCAAATGTTTCCTCTAGCATAGACACCCTCTTTAATAAAATTTCTTTAACTTTGGAAACTAATGAAAACAAATTCTTACAATCAACTGACCAAAGATTTTTAATTGAGTCAGCCTCAAGAATGTTACGATGATTATTTTTATTTGGTGATGATGATAAACTGGGATCACTATTATTATTATTATTATCTATATTGTTTTTATTAATGAAATCTTTTAATGATTTTAAATCCAAGAGGTCATTGAATATATTATCAAATGGCATTGAATTTATATGTGATATACGTTGATCGTTATTATCTGAAGATGATAAAATACCATTTAATTTATATTCATGGTCGTATACTCTTGAAAGTTTGTGATCTATTGATTTGGTTAAAAATAAAATCCATACTAACGATTTATTATCAAGTTGTTCTGAGGCCCCAATATCTAAATATGAACTATTAATTGAAATATCTACAAGTGTATGACAAATTGATTTAAAGTGGATTAAATTATTTGCATCATCACCTGAAAACTGTGTTTTTACTTTTCGTTCTTCAAACTCGATAATTGTTTTATAAATTGTTAAATGTAGTTGATTTTTATCTAGCTTGTCTATGTGCTTTAAAAATTTGTTAATATAAATTCGAATTATAAAATGTTTATATAGTATATCATAATTAAACCTACATTCTTTAATGCAATTCTAAAACAAATTGGATTCAAATGAAATAATTCTTGTGTAATTGAAAAATCTAATAAATCTTCTAATGATAAATCGCACAATATATGCTGAACGAGTTTAATTGAAGATATCTTGCAAAGTATATGGTAATAGTCTAAAACATCCAATTCATTGGATACAAATGCTACATTATTTAAAAAGTTGTCAACATCTGATATTAAATTTTTAAAATCTGAACCTATAATCAAACTTTTAAAAAAAAAACAAAAATAAAATTAATATTTATATAGATAAATATAAATTATTTATATAAACTTACGTTTTAAAATATTTTAAACTATATTGACTGGAATATTTATGAAAAACTGGAGTTAAAATTAAATTTATATGATTTTGAAAAAGAGTAGTTTGTTGTCTTTTATTATATGTTGAAAAAGCTTGCATAAATTCTTGAGCTAATGAATTTTGATGATTTTTATCTGAAATAAAAAATCTTTGAAAGATTTCGGTACCTAATTTTTGTTTTGAAGAATCGGAAATATAATTTACATTACTTATTATATCGAGAATGAATTTCATAATTTCAATATCCTCATTATCACCATCACTGTTACCATAATCATTAAATAAGCTTTCTACTAAAATATCTACTAATTCTAATTGTAATAATGGTTGATTTGAAATATTTAAGAAAGATATGATTTTTGATTTTTTTAATAAAAATACCTATTTAAATAAAAATATTAGTAAATAGCCATCATTAATTATAAAAATATTTCCTAATTAAAACCCTTACATTTTCGTTACTTTTTAAAAAATATTTAAAAAATATAAACTTATTATTTAATAATTGATAAAATTGAATAAGGTTATTAAAATAGTTATCATGTAATTGATTAATCCATTTTAAAGACCAATCCACCATGGTTTTGATCTTATCTAACGATAATGGGGATGTAAGTGAACCTTCTGTTGTATTAATTGATAAATCTATAGCAAAGAGACATAACAATATCTTGATTTCCATTGATTGAATCTTATCTTTTAAATCCTCTTGAAATAATGAAAAAAATTTAAAAAACACATTAATTAAAATTTCATTCTCTTGGATCTTCAATCTTTGAGAGTTTTGAATTTGATTTAAGTGAGAATTATTAGCTTTACCACTACTAGAACTACCACTACTAACCTCATCTTCATCTTCTGAAAATAGAAACTGCTCGTCATCTGTGCCACCTCTATTTGATCCCGTAATTGAGCCAGTATGATTACTTCCATTACTAGTACTATTATGTGTTACCCCAATATAACCACCTTTTAAATGATTGATTAATAATAAGCATAGATAGTTTTCAATTTTGTTAACTATAACTTTTAATTGCTCTATATTAGTATTTTGGCTGTGTAATCCCTGTATTAACCTTTGTTTTATTAATTAAAATATGAGTTAGTATACATGTTATATTTAGTAGTAAAAAAATAAATCTTACCCTTGATATCTTGACAATAAAAATACCAAAGAAATATATGGGTAATTATTTGTTGAATGATCCAATGAACCAATAATTGTATCGCTATCAATTGATTTGAAATGATCATCCAAGTAGCTTTGAATGTTGGTGTTTGTGTTTATATGTTTTAAGAGGAATTGAAAAGAATCTAATAATACAAATTTAACCTCGTTAGAATACAATAGCGAAACATTATTCAACTTTAACAATGATAAAATATCTTTTAATAGTTGATTAATTAAGCCACTACTAAGATGATTCCCTATCGATACACCCACATTTCCTAAATTAATCGAATTTTTTTTTATTTTAACCCACAAACTTGAAAATATTTTATTATTATCCATTATTATTATTTTTTTTTTTTGTGATATATATTAAAAAAAAAAATCAACACGTTTTTAAAAAGACATAAAATACAAAGATATAATTTATATAAATACAATAATAAAATAATGAAATAACAAAACGATAAAGATTTTTTTTTTTTTTTTTTTTGAGGTGAGATAAAATAATTTTTTAAAATATTTTTTTTAAAATTTTTTTTTTTTTTTCTGATGACAAAACTTTCACCGAAAAATGATTTTTGTGTAAATAAGTGATTGTGTGCGAGTATTATGGGTGTTATTTTTAGATTATTTTTGTTTTTAAAAAAAAATATATTGTTGCATTTTAAAAAAAAAAAGGTTTTGCATTTAAAAAAAAAAAGATGGGTTAAAAGAGTAAATGGGAATATTTTGTCGTTTTTTTTTTTTAAAGGTTTGGTTAAATCTGTTAAATAAAAAAAATTAGTATTTTAGTTTTAAAATTTCAAAAAAGAAATATTTTTACTTACAATAAAAAAAATATTTCGTTTGGAGAAAAAAAAAAAAACACAGAAACAAGAGAGTTGTTTTTAAATAGATGGATGTGGTTTTATTTAGTTTTTGAAATCAGTTGAACAACTGAGATCTCTGAATTTATTTATTTGTTGTTTCATTGATTCAATTTTGGCTTCAGCAAATTGAACAGCATCTTTACCTACAAAGAGAAATTTTTTTTTTTTTGGTTAATAATTGTTGTATTTTTATTAAAATTATAATAATTCTATATTTACCCAAAAAGAAATGTAATGGAGGATCTTGCATTACTGAAACTTCAACTATAGCTTTAGCACAAAGAACAGGATCACCTTGTTGTTTTTGATTTATTTCTTTTGTGTGTGTTTCGATGACATGACGAACTGCTTTATACTCTGGTATTGGATGTTTTGGAACATGCAAGGAGCTAGAGGATAAAAAGTCGGTTCTAACATATCCTGGAAGTACAGAGGTAACTTTAATATTAAACTCTTCTAGATCTTTTGAAAGACTCTCACAAAAACCATCAACAGCAAACTTTGTTGCAATATAGATTGGGAAACCAGGGAATTGGCCATTATAACCAGCAATTGATGAAATGCAAATGATTCTTGGATCTGGGTAATGCATCTCACGTAAGTTTGGCAAAGCATGTTTGATTACATTAATTAGACCAAAAACATTAACATCAAAATTTTCCCTAACTGTTTTATAAAAATTTTAAATAAGTATTTTTTTAATTTTTTTTTTTATCTTTTTTAATTTATTTAATGAATAGTTACCTTCTTTTTCACAAAGCTCTTCAACAGTACCAGCTTGGCCATAGCCACTATTGTTAATTACACAATATATCGAACCGAATTTTTTAATTACTTCATGAATTGCACCCTTGATTGAGGATTCTGATAAAAGATTCATTTCTATTGGTAAGAATCTATCATTTACTAAGCTTGGGGAATATTCTTTTAATTTTTCAATTAAGCTTTTTTTATTTCTTGAAGTTGCTGCAACTCTATAGTTTTGTTTTAATAACTCAACTACCAATTCAAAACCTATACCATGGCTACAACCAGTAACAAAGTAAGTTCTACCTCCTATATCTGTCATTTTTATTTATTTATTTATTTATTTATTATTTGTTAAAATAATGAAATATAAAACTTTTTTTTTTTTGTTCATTGTGCTATAAATAAATAATTAAATAATTTAAATTTTAAATTAAATAAAAAAAAAATTTTTAAAAAAAAAATAGAAAAGGAAATGTGTTAACTTTTTGTGGGGAATTTTACCCCACCCCCTATTACTTTAAATATTTTTAAAATAAAATTTATTAAAATATAAATCGAAATAAAATAAATATATTTGGTTTGTTTAAATCATTATTATATTTCTTTTAAAGTCGAATATTTTCGACTATATTTAAAAGTGTATTGTTGATTGAATATTTACTTGTGAAGCAGGCTGGTTTAAAAAACTGAATATAAACATTGATTTCATTGATGTGAATTTTTAATGTATTGTTTTGTAAATTGTTTAATAGATTATTAAAAAATTCGATGAATAGTCCTTCATTATCAGAGATTATATTAATTGTAAAGGAATGCAACGATGTTGTATTTGAAAGCAATTCGATAAATTTGATATCTGCTTCTTTTACATCCAATATTAAATTTCTAATGGTGTTATTTAAAGGAAAAATTTTTGATATTACTGATTCGAAAACAAGTGGTGAGAGAAAAAGTGTTTTGATTGATGTGTTCTTTGCAAGGGATGAGAGTGCATCGTTATTTAAAAAAAAAATGTTTTTAATTTCTAATGTTTCGATGGAACATGTAGGTTTTGAAAAAATTGAACTTAAACCATCATTAATAGATCTGTAGTTTGTTAACGTTCTTTCATCAAATTTTTTGACTAGTTTCGTGGAACTGAAATAAATATCTTGGCATAATGAAAACCGTTTAATGGTTGAATTTGGTTGAGATAGTGCCGAGATAAAAGAGTTCCATTCCTCAACCACTGCATTGGGTTCTCTTAACATAATATCTCTGCCATTAAATACGTCCTTTAGATACTCAAATCTGATTGGTACATCTATCGACTTTAAAATGGTGCTTGGGTAGTTGCTAATTTTGCCAATATTGCCGACCTCTCCATAAAAGTATTGTGTTTGGAAATGTTTTAGAGATGAACATTGAAATAGTTTGGAAAAATCTACATCAACTCTATCCTCTTCAATTCTTGTAGGTTCATTTGGTGTATAAATTATTGTTTTTGGTTCTAATTGCCCTATTTTTTCTAATATATCAACATTTCGAAAGTTTTCACCAAAGTTACCAATTAGTTTTATTTGGTTTATTTTCTTTTTTCCTGATAAATACTCTGAAATGGTGTGGTTATGAAAAGAGTCATTAGGATATATTGATAGAGTGATGTTGAACTCTACATTATCTGGATACTGTTGGTCTGATAATAAAAAATTCACTGTACTACTTGTATCGTAGGTTTCGTTTTCTTCAAAGTTTACTAATACCTTTCTAAAATTGGTTTTTTTGGTATCTTGGTTTATTTTCATATAGTTTTCATAATGAAATTTTGATTTGAAAATAATAACTGAATTTTCAAATTTAATTAAACTGAAGGCTGAATATTTGATTAAAGGGTATAAAACATAATAGTTATTGAAGTTTAATACTGATGATAATGAATTAGATACTGCTTTAAAGAAATATTTTGAAACCAAACCTAATTCTATTACCTCACAGTTTAGCTTTTGATTAGTTACCATGGTGTGGTTTTCATTATTAATAAATTTATTTCTAATTCTATATAAATAATATACAATATATTTTAAAATTTTGTCATATATATAGTTAGGTATGACCGCACCCATTTTTAATTTACACAACACACATAAAATAAAAAAAAATGAAAAAAAAAATAAAAAAAAGATTTTTGCAAATATTAAATTTTATAAAAATTGGAAAAAAAAAATAATATTTTTCAAATAATTATATTTATTTTTAAATAAAAAAAAAATCTAAAAAAAGATTTTTCATGATCCATAAATACAAAAAAAAAAAAGGACCATTAGTTTATAAACTGATTTGATTTTATAAAATTAGTGATTTGTTGAAATTATTTTTTAATTGTAATTTAAACCATCAGGTTCTGGGAAGTTATTGTTAAATATTAAATCTTGAAGTCTGAATACTGAAGCCTCTATTCCTTTTTTATTGACCAATGATGATGCAAATGGTTCACTTTTGATTTTTTGTAATATTTCAAAGAGGTTTTGTTTTTGTTTCTTGAAAAGAATATTTCCCATTTGAGAAAGGAAGGCTACCAACAAATATGAGGTGATACGACGTGGTTTTAAATGGACTATTCCATGTAACCATTTAAGAGCTAAATCTAAATTGAATAGAGTATTTGGAGCATTTGATGCGGTAGCAGCAGAACCAAAGCCAAACATAGTTGCGGTTGATGGTTGTTCGGATTTTAAGATTAATGATGTAAATAATGAAATGTAACCACACATTCTCTTGTTGAATTCTTCATCAGTTTCGGCTGGTTTTTTAGTTTCTTCATTAAATAAATAGCCTGCTTTTTGTAAACTAATATTTTTATCTTCACCTTGTATTAAAGTAGAGTACATTGGGACTGTATACATGCAATGCTCCTCTAGTTTTCCTAATATAATTTTAAATAGCTCTGGAAACTGTTTTCCAACTTTAATAAGAACGTCTGATAATGGGAATGCTGATGCTGTATGGAATGTAATTTGAGATTCTACTTGGTCCATTGACTTGTTTGCAATTGAAATTAAAGCTCTTTTATAAAAATATTCATTATTTCTCTTTTCATTACCAAGTATATCAGTTAATCTTTTTGCCTTGCTCTCTGTTTGTTCTTTTGATGCCGAAATTTGATTGATTGCAATGTTTATATTCTTTGTCAATTGTTTCTCGTAGTCCAAGTTCTCTTTTGATTGCGTTGGCTTTACTGATAAAAGATATTGTTCAATTTGTTTTATCATATCTTTTCTTTCGCTATAGCCACTCCAATAATAGTCGTTAAAATCCCTACATATTTGATAATCCTTGATACCTTTATCTGTAGATGTAGTTGTATTATCAGGGGCCCTAATGGTTTGAGATTGTTGTTGTTGTTGTTGTTGTTGTTGTTGTTGTTGTTGTTGTTGTTGTTGTTGTTGTTGTTGTTGTTGTTGTTGTAGTTGTTTTGCTTTTTCCTCTTCATCTCTTTTCTGTTGCAATTGAATCTCTTGTTGTCTTTTTTGTTCTATTTCATCTTGAATTCTTTTCTTTTCTTCTTCTTTTTCTCTCTTTATTCTCTCTTGACGTTGTCTTTCAGCTTCTTCTTTTTCTTTCTTTTTTCTCTCTTGACGTTGTCTTTCAGCCTCTTCTTGCTCCTTCTTTTTGATTTCTTGATTTCTTCTTTCAGCTTCTCTCTCTTCTTCTTCTTTCTTTTTTACCTTGGCGACTTCTGCTCTTTCCTTAACCAAAAGATCACCATAGTTTACTCTGATGATTATTTCTCTTGATTCCTCGATCTCTTTTTTAAATTGTTTCTTTCTTTCAGCCATTAAATTTACAAATTTTTTTCTAGAAACTTTATATTCTCTTTCCAAATTAGTATAGAACTCATTTTGTTCTTTTCTAAATTCGTTCATCTCTTCCACTCTATTTCTTTCGCATCTTTCCCTTACTTTTTTGAACTTTTCCTCCATTTCTCTTTTGATTCTATCAACTTCTGTGGCCACTCTAATTTCTCTTTCTTTTTCAAGTTTGTTTAATATATACTCTGTTTGATATGAACTTAATTGTAGTTTAGGCTTATTGTTTTCGTTAACCCTTTTGACAAATTCTAGATCAATAGTTTCTCTTGTTTTGATACTACCACTTTTTCTAATTGGGGGTAAAACAGTGAAATCTATTTCATCGTCATCTTCATTAAATCCATCATCACTAATTGGTACGGTTTCATTTATTTGTTCTTGTTGTTGATAGACCTCTTCACCACCATTATCTCCATCTTCATCATCATCATCATCAATAGTTAAGTTTTCAACCGAAATGGTACATAATTTTTTTCTAAAATCTTTATAAAGGTATTTACTTGATAAGGGTTGAGTTTTGTTTTGAGATGCTGTTTTATTTAAATCTATATTTCTATTTGAAGTATTTGAAGAAGTATTTGAAGAAGTATTTGAGGGTATTATATCAATATCAAAATTTATAAAATCTTCATTATTATTATTATAATTATTATTATTAATGTTTCTTGTGCCAATATTTGTTTTTATATATTTATAAGGAGAGCTAAGGGGTTCTAAACTACAATAAACCTGCTTTATATTATTGCCTCTTTTATATACAACTAAATTATTATCGACATGGTTATTCATATTATTCATATTATTATTTAATTTTATATTATTTGATGAAAGAACATCCATTGTCGATTAAATAAAAATATAAAAAAAAAAAATGGTAATAATGAAAACAAAAAAATTAAAAAATCATCCAAAAAAAATATTTTTTTAATTTTTTTTAATTTTTTTAATTTTTTTTATTTTTTTTTTTTTTTAATTATTTTTTAATAAATGTTTTATGAAAATAAATATTAATTTTACGAAAATAAAATTAAATGTTATGTTTTTGTAAAAAAAAATTCATAAATATATTTTATTTTATTTTTGCATTGTTCAATCTTTTTATATTTTTTTTTTTTTTTATAATAAATTTAATAAATTAAAAACAAGATATAAGCAATCCTTTTTTGGGCTGTAAATTCTTGTAAAAAAAAAAAAATTATCGAAATTTTTTTTTTTTTTTTCCCACACAATAATATAAAACCAATACAAACCATTATAACTCTATTATTATGAAGAAACTATAGTTTAATAAATTTTATAAATATTCACAATAATGTCGCAAAGAGGTAGGCTTAAAAGATCCTCACCTCCACCAGTTAATGTAAATAAAAAGTTTCCATCGTTTGAAGGAAGACAAACCTCCATCAAAGATTTCTTTTCATCTTCACCAGATGATTTAAATAATAATAATAATAATAATAATAATAAAATAGCACTACTTGATAATACTAACAATAATAATAATAGTAATAACAATGCAGTAACACCATTAAAAAAAACAACCACCACTGTAACAACAACTGAAATATTTGAAACCATTGATAATAATATTAATAATAGTAGTATTAGTAGTAGTATTAATAATAATAATAATAATAATTTAATGAGTCAATTTCAACAAACACAAACACCAAGTAAAAAAACTATTAAAAAAGTAACAACAACAACAGAAACATTTGAAGAATTTGTGTCTACTCCTATTTCACCCGCAGCATCATCCATTTCGCAAATAAATATAAATTCTCCGCCACAAACAACCCCTTTAATAAATGCAGATAAATCACCAAACTCATTAAAAAATTCATCTCCATTAACACAGCTACCTCAACCAATATCACAACCTGTACCACCTTCACAAAGCCAAACCAATACTCAATTGAATAAAAACAATGGTCAACTTATAATAAATAATAATTCAGTTAGATATTACTTAAAGGATTTTTTAGTTGTAACAGAAACAGTTTATAATAGAGACAACCATTTATTTATAGATGATGAAAAATTTTATATAGAATCAATGATTCAATCCATTGATAGAGAAGCACAGCATTTATTTGTTAGAATTTATAATCGTAAAGGACCATGGTTTCAAACTAGTTTATTGGGTGAATCTTATAAAGATGAATTTATTGACATTAACAAACCAATCGGAACACTTGTAGAATATGGGTTTTTGGATGTATACCAGTCCAGTAAAAACGATTTTAAAGAAATTGCACAATTACTAAAGGTCGAACAACTTAAAAGCATTGTGGGTTCAATTGCATCACGTTCTCTTACTTCATCATCCTCTACTGCAAAGCAAACTTATTTGGAAATGATATCTGGCAAACCATTTAAAGGTCAAATGACATTAACACCATCGGAACCTATTTATAAAAAGTAAATGTTAAACTTTATTATAAAAAAATTTTACAACCACTAACTTTTTTTATTTTTTTTAACTTTATAGAAAAGTTGAAGACTTGGTTGGATATTGTGTAATGATTAGACCAGAGGTATTAGAGCTATGGAGAACCATTCACCATTTATATTTTTATTCATGGAGTGCACATGATTCAAAACAAATAATAATAAATAATATTATGGGTAAAGCCTATCCAAATTATTCAGTATGGAAGAGTAAATGTAAAAATAAAAAACCAACAAATGATGAAATTATAGTTAGTAGTCAAAATGATAATATTATAGATTTAACAATCAATCAATCATCTCAATCACAATCGCAATCACAATCACAATCTCAATCACAATCACAATCACAATCACAATCACAATCACAATCACAATCACAATCACAATCAAAATCAAAATCAAAATATGACATTGACTTAACAAACAACGAATCCATTTTTGTAACAAGACAATCATTATTAGATTACGAAAAAGCAAAAAAACTTGAAGAAAAGGTTATAGCTACAAATGAAATTGGTGACTGGGATTCAATGCAAAAAATATTACAAATCTGTTTAGAGGAATTGAGTAGAACTGTTAGTAAATCTGTAAACTATAGCTTTGCTTTAAAATTTACACCGGGCTGGGTCTATACCAAAATCCTATCATGGTCAATAACAGTATTGGAGAAATCACGTAAATATCAAGAATGCTTAGACTATTTAATGCTTTTAATAGACTCACCTTTTTGCAGAGGTAAAAGAGGTCAATGGTGGCAAAGAATGATTATAAACTATAAACATTTAAACAGAGCTCAAGATGCCTTGGTTATCGCAGAGCGTTCACTATCTGACCCATATTTAAGAAGTGGTGATAGATTAGCAATCGAAAAACAACTTGTATTTTTATCTGTTCCTCCTCGACGTTGGAAAATTCCCAAAAACTTATTACAATTTCAAAATAAATTAAGAGAACCAAACTCAATTACATTAGTTAGAGAAAAAGTTTCAAATAACCAACCTGGTCATAAATCAAAATATTTATTTTTAACTCCTAAAATTAATAAAACAATAATAAAAAATAACAATATCAATAATAATATTACTAATCATAATAATAACAATACTAATAATAATAATAATAATAATAATAATAATAATAATAATAATAATAATAATACGAATAATAATAACGAAAATAACGAAAAAGATAAACAAATAGATAGTGATGAAGAAATTATACCAAGTACCCAAGAGCAAAAAGAAGAAGATGACAATAAAGAGAAAAAAAAAAAAAGAAGTAGTAGATTTTTTGGTAGTAGTCAAAGCATTATTATTGATGCTGAAACAACACTCGAAATTAATAGTGATGATGAAATATTTCCTGAATCATATCAGAGTAGTGATGAAAAAGTTGACAAGGATTTAGAAAAAGAAAAAGAAAAAGAAAAAGAAAAAGAAAAAGAAAAAGAAAAAGAAAAAGAAAAAGAAAAAGAAAAAGAAAAAGAAAAAGAAAAAGAAAAAGAAAAAGAAAAAGAAAAAGAAAAAGAAAATAAGAATAATTCAAATACAGATAAAAGTAATGAAGAACTTGATCAAGTTTTAATTGAAAAAGTTTTATGTGGTTCAGTTGAAGAAATATCATTGGAGCACTATGCATTAGAGGAATGGCAAGGTATTCATTGTGAAACATCATTATTTTTATCATTATTTGTGCTATTGTTTTGGGATATTATATTTGACTCAAATATTCCCCATGTTTTTCAATCACCTTTTCAAGATGCACCACTCGATTATGGAACCGATGAATTTTATTATCAAAGAAAAGAATCAATCGATAAACGTATTGAATTATTAAAGAACTCTGAACTAAACTATTTATACTCATTACTTGACGATGCTTGGCTTCATAATGGATGTGAAGCGAGAGGAGTTAATTGGAAACAGCATACAATTGATCAATTAAAAACAATTACAAAATGCCTAGGTGGTCCTTTATTAGCATTCGTTTGTAAATTACTTACCGAAGACTATAAAAACTTTTCTCATGGTATGCCAGATTTACTATTATATAAGACAACAACAAATAATAATAATAATAGTAATAATAATAATAATAATAATAATAATAATAATAATAATAACCCTATTGATCTAGATAAAGATGAACAAAGCCAAGAAGAAAAAGAAAAAGAAGAAATTATAGACTTTATCAAATTTGTTGAAGTAAAAGGGCCTGGTGATAGATTAAGAGATCAACAAAGAGTTTGGATCGATTTATTAATATCTTTTGGATGCGATGTCGAATTGTGTTATATCAAAAATAAATAGTTATTTAAATATGTAAATAAATAAATAAAACAAATAATACTATTTGTGTTTCAAAACAATACAATTTTTGGTAATTTTTTAATTATGATTTAATCACAATTAAAAAAGTTGTAAATTGCACAAAAAAATAATTAATTAAATATTTTTTTTTTTTTTTTTAAATTTATTTTTTTTTTTTTAAATTTTTTTTTTTCATTTTCAATTTCATTATTTTTATTTTTTTATTTTTTTTTTGATGAGTTTATTTAGAAGTTTCACAACAAAGCAAGTATTCCACTTAACTTTCAACAAGAATATAAATAGGTTTCATCTTACCAAAAACATAACTAACCTTTTAAAATTTATTGTTTAAATTAAAATAGTATTAATAAAATGTCAAAAGTCGTCGTCAGCACTAAAAATGCACCAGGTGCCATCGGTCCATACAGCCAAGCCATTATCGCTAACAACCAAGTTTTTGTTTCAGGTTGTCTCGGTTTAGATAAAGATGTATGTATATTTAATTATAAAACAATAAAATAAAACAATACAAAGTTATTTTTGATGATAAATATTAATATGGATATTAATTTATTTTTTAGACTATGGCTTTTGTTCATGAAACTGATGTTTCAGCTCAAACCAAAAGAGCTTTAGAAAATATGAAAAATATTTTAGAAGCTGCTGGTTCATCAATGGAAAAAGTTGTTAAAACCACTATTTTATTAAAATCAATGGATGACTTTGGTGCTGTTAACACTGTCTATGCCACTTGTATGTATTTCATTTAACGACACTTTTGATGTTAAGATAGAATGTTCATTTTTACTAACTCTATTTAATTCTAGTCTTCCCAGTTGACCCACCAGCCAGATCAACTTTTGCTGTTGCCTGTTTACCAAAAAATGCTTTAGTTGAAATTGAATGTATCGCCATTCACCAATGAATCTCTAAAGCAAAATTATAAATAACACTATAGTTTTGCAAACCTTTCCCCTATATATATTAATAAAGAAATAATTTTTTAAAAAAAAAAAATACACACACATTAAAGCGCTATTATTTTTTTAAGATCTATAAAATAATTAACTATTTTTTTTTATGGAAACTCTTTCCCAATTTATATTTTTTTTAATAAATAATATATAAATATAATTTTTATTTTTCTATGTTTATATTCTATTTTTAATCATTTTTTATTAATTTGGGATGTAGCCCAACAAGGTAATTGCTAAGCTGGATTTACTTATTTTTTTATTTATTTTTTTTCACACAATTTATTTATTTTAAAATTTTATTTTTTTTTTAATTTTTTTTTTTTTTTAAATTTTTAATTTTTTTTTTAATTTTTTTATTACATTATTATTTTTTATTTTTTATTAATTTAATAATTTAAATTTAAATAAAACTAGAGAAATAAAAGTTTTCAATATATTAATCATCGTTCATAAATAAATTATAAAAATATATTATTTATAAATAAAAACAAATAAAATAAAAAACTCAATATAAATACATAATAAATAGTAAAGATTATACATATATATATAAATAAAATAAATGGAATCATTATCAAAATATAAATTAGTTTTCCTTGGTGACCAATCCGTTGGTAAAACATCAATTATTACAAGATTTATGTATGATACATTTGATATTACATACCAAGCAACTATTGGTATTGATTTTTTGTCAAAAACAATGTATTTGGAAGACAGAACTGTTAGATTACAACTTTGGGATACCGCAGGCCAAGAAAGATTCAGATCATTAATTCCTTCATATATTAGAGATTCATCAGTTGCCATAGTAGTTTATGACATTACAAGTAATTATTATTTTTTTTTTTTTTTTTTTTTTTTTTTATTTTAAATTATTAATAATATTTCACCAATACTAATACTATTAAATTAAATTATAATATAGATAAAAACTCGTTTTTAAATACAATTAAATGGATTGAAGATGTCAGAAATGAAAGAGGAAATAATGTAGTTATTATGTTAGTAGGTAACAAAACTGATTTAGCTGATAAAAGACAGGTTTCAATCGAAGAAGGCGAAGCTAAAGCTCAAGAATATGATATTATGTTTACAGAAACTTCAGCAAAAGCAGGATTCAATATCAAGGCATTATTTAGAAAAGTAGCATCTGCTTTACCAGGTATTGATTCAAATTCAATGACCAAAGGTCAACATGAAATCATTTCTGAAGTCGACATTTCAGATACTTCAAAACAATCAGCTGCTGCAAACAATGGTTACTGTGAACGTTGTTAAAATAATAATAAATAATACCCAAATCAAACTCCCCCAACATATAATAAAAACAATAATTACAATAATATTTAAATACATATTAAATGTTCTTTATATAGCATACAAAATATGACATAAAAAAAAAACTATAAAAAAACTATAAAAAAAAAAAAACAAAAAAAACAATTAAAAATTTTCTCTAAAATAAAATAATAAGTATAATAATATTTATTTAACAAAAAAAAAAACAAACTATGTTTATTTATTTATTGGTGTAATAGTTTTTTAATAATTAGATCTTTTACATCTTGTTTATAAACTTTTCTTGTGAAATAGGTGACATATGGAAAACCCTTTTCGATGTGTTCTTTGGTGACGGCAAGCTTGGAAGAGTCCCATGGAATAAATCTGTAGTTGTATGTATCCCAAATTGCTTCGTTTGGATAAAATGGAGATTCATTTCTTACTTGCTGATAGAAAAATTCGTCGGGAATCATAGCAAACTTCAACGATAATAAACGTCTGATTGAATTAAAATCAGAAATGATGTAATGTGCAAATTTGTAGGTTAAAAAATGCCACTGTGAACCCTCGTTTGATTTCCCTTTGTAAAATGTATTTGTGATCATTGGATTGTTATTATTTGGACTACCACATACATTTGAATCTTTATATTTGACTGCTATTGTATTACCAAGCTTTGTTCTTAAAAAGGTTTCTGTATAACGTTCACTTTCTTTATTGGGACCAGTCTCTAAAAAATTTCTATTTATATTTGTGGGTAGTCTTAAAAAGAACTCTAGCTCGGATACTGTCTTGACTGGGAAATCATTGGCACTAAGGTTTATTACATGAGTCCATGTTTCATTTTTACGTGAAATTGCACTTCTTTCTTCTACCATATCAAATAAAATTGAATATGCGGCAATTTCTGGATAAACCAATGAGATGGAACCCCATGAACCACTGAATCTATCCTTCATAACTCTATAATTCTTTGGGTAATTATCTGTTAAATAATGGTCTATTTCATATGACTTTTTGAATAAATTGTCTAAATATAACTCCAACTCTTCTATCTTTTTGGTATCATTGAAATTATTATCAACTAAAAAAAAAGTGTAAATAATTTATTTAATAAATAATTAAATAATGAATAAAATATATTTACCGTGAATTACGTAATAGTGCTTAGGTCTGTATAAATATGTAAATAGTGTTTTTATTTCTTCCATTTTGATATCTGATACTAGTAAAAAGAATGCAAGATTTGATGAAGTAATTTTAAAAGGTTCTAATACCGGAGGTGAATATTTTGGATCTGCATACTTTAAGTAGTAATCTTCTTTTCCTTTTTTATTAGCAGATGTTAATAAATAGTTGAATAATAATTTATCATTTCTATCCCATGGACCATATGTTTCAAGTAATTTTTTAATATATTTGCTTTGCTCTTTAATATTGTCAACAGTTGGTTCTACTAATACTTCATTAATATACTTTTCGGTATAGTTTTGATTGACCCTATACTTGTGCCAGCAACAAACTGATGATGAGTACTGTTTATCTATTTCATCATTGTCCCCAAATATAAACTCTGGATAGAGATTGAACATACTTGTTTCTAGGTTTAGACTATTACATTGTTCTTTTTCGTCTCTATTTTCACACATACTACCACTAAAACTATATGGACATATGCATTCATTCTGAAAACCAATGCCTCCATTTGAACACTCTTTTCCCATCATTGTAATATAAGATTGTACAATTTGATTATTTGTACTATTTTGACTTCCACTACTTGAAATATCATCACTTTCTGATTCATCTTGATTTGATTTGATTTTTTTTTTTTTATTTAATTTTAATGGTGGAGGTCTTGGTTTTCTATCTTTTTTTGTAAGATAGTTTTCATGTTCTAATTTCTTTCCCTTGATGTTTTCATCTCTTTGATGAGTATTTATTAATCTCTCTTCGTTATAATATATAAATTTTTTTTTATGTTCTATTTGGATTTTATTATTATTATTTCTATTTATAAAAGGTGTAATAAATAATATAGCCAATAATATAAATATAGTGATTAAAGATATTAAAAAAACTTTTCTTCTATTGCCCCTATTATTACTGTACTTAAATCTATTATTTAATTTCATTATTAATTTATTGTATATAAGTTGTAATAATTATGAAAAAACTATTGTATATATTCAATAAATTTATACATATATTTTATAAAAAAAATAAAAAATAATATAAAAAAAAATAAAAACAAATTATTCATACACCCCTCCCAAAAATTATTTTTTATTTTTTAAAAAATATTCCATTTTTGTAGTTTGATTCTAGTGGGGTTTAAAAATGAGTGTGTGAATATGAAAAAAATAAAAGATAAAAACAACCCAAAATCTATTTATATGAAAAAAATTATTACCATTTAAAATTTTTAATACTATTATTATAAAGAATATAATAATTTAAACCACTTTTATTTCTATTTTTAAATTATTTATTATTTTATTCGCACTTTCTTTGAGAATACAAAGGTTTATCTGAAATGACTGATAATTGTCTAAATTTTAATGGACAATAGTATCCCTTATTCTCTATTGATGATAAGCAATCGACAAGGGTGTATCTTAGGTCATAGTTTTTTAAACAGAGTAATGGGAATAAAAATGATTCGGAATTGTGCTTTCTTTTTTCGTATTGCCACTTGTTCATTGAGGTTTCCAAATGTACTAGTTTTGATTGTCTGTGTTTTTCAAAATTTTCTTCAAAGAGTCTAACCTCATCGGTATAATTAATTTGATTATTTGAAAGATCGAGGAATTCTAAAGAAATATTTTGAAGGAGCGCTTTAGAGAGCATTAAAAAGCCGTCAGTTGAAAGTGAACAATACTCCATATCTAAATATCCCAATGAATCGTTCTTTAAAAGTAACTTTTCAAGTGTAGCAGCGCCACTTACACCAAGAGGATTATGACCTACTAATAAACTGTGTATTTTGTGTACCTTTGGATATAAACTACTGGTAGAGTCGTCAAAGAACAATGACTCTAAAGCATTAAAGTTGTTGTGGTTTTGTTCGATACTAACGCCATTGATACCGCATGCTCTGACGTTGAGGAATCTAATTGAATTTCTTGACTCTTTAAAGATTTTACTACCCAATAGTTTGCAACCCTCTTCGTCACCAATTGGGTTTATAGAGATATTTAAACATTGTAAAGAGGAGTTATTTGATAAAGAATCGGCAAACAATCTAAGAGAGGCTGTATTAATTTCATTTTCAGAGATATCGAGGACTGCAAGATTTGGGAAGTTCTTTAAAACGGTATTGATGAGTTGCATTTTAGGGTCACGGGTTTGTAATTCCATTTTGCCAATATCCAAATGGACCAATGATTCACAAAATCTTTTTTGTGAACCATTAAATAAATCTAAAAGTAAATCTACATCCAATGATTTGTTGGCTCTAAAAGAAAGATATGAAATTTTTGAAAACTTTACAATGGTTCTATGTACATGGTAGAATCCCAACAATTGTTTGCTATCGCTGGTCTTCTTATTGAAATTTATACGAACTGGTACCTGCTTGACAATGACATCGCTCCATAATTTACAAACTAATCTGTATGCACTAACATTGTCGTGGTGCTCGTCGCTAACAATTGTCAATATATTGGCTAATAAAAGATTTGGTAATGAGTCAATTGATAGTTTGCTCATTGATTTCTTGTCTTTTTTCTTGCTGTCTTTTTTCTTTGTATCTTTTTTTTTATCTTTAGAATCTGTGCTGCTTTTATCTTTTTTTTTTTTAAATAAAAATGACATTTTTTTTTTTTTTCTTTTAAAAAAAGTTTTATTTTCTTTTTTTTTTAATAATTAAAAATTTAATTTAAATTATTTTTTATTTTAAATATTTTTTTTTTTTTATTATTTATTTATATAAATTTAGTATTGTTGAAAAATATAGCTCTTTTACAAATAAATTTATATGTATTCGGTTTATATAAAATACAAGGTATGAAATTTTAAAGTTTTTGGAAAAGAAAAAAAAATAAAAAAAAGTATGGTTTTCAAAAAAAAAAATAATAAAAATAATAAAAAAAAAAATAATTATTGATTATATCTTAATCAATAAAATATCTTTTCCACCAAAATTTATCCAATCATTAAATCATTGAAAAATTTTTTTATTTTTTTTTTTTTTTTTCGAAATTTTTTTTTTTTAGATATTATTATTATAATAGTTTTTACATGAGTATTCACTTTTAAATAAACAAAAAGATTATTTTATTATTTATTATTTTACTTTTTTATTTTACTTTTTTATTTTATTTTTATTTTACTTTTTTTTTTTTATTCTTTATTTTATAATAAATGATTTATAAATTTCCAAAATAAAAAAAAAATGTTGAACAAATAATTTTTTCGAAAAAATTATATAACATAAATTTTTTTTTTTTTTTTTTTTATTTTATTTCCAAATATTTTTAAAATTGAATATATTTAATGTTATAAATATAATCAAAAAGGGATTGTATTTAATGTTAAATATTATAAATAATAGTAAATACAATCCCTTTTTTTTTTTTTTTTTTTTTTTTTTTTTTTTTTGTAAATTTGAAGATATTAAAATTTATTTAAAAATAAATAAAAAAAAAAAAAAATTAAAATTTATTTTTTTTTTTTAATTTTTTTATTAAAAATAATTTTTTTATTTTGTGAAGCTCTGCATCCCAAATTTTTTTTTTTTTTTTTTTCATTTTCATATCTTATACAATTAATATTAATATATAATTATATATATAATATATTTTCAAAAATGTTATCAAATCACATCAGAAACTCAGTCTTGAGTGCAAGACTTTTAACCAGAAATTGTAATATCTAATTTTTTAAATAAAATCAAAAAATTTTTTTAAAAAAAATATACAGATTTATTAATTAATTAATTAATTTTTTTTAAAATTTTATAGATTCAAAAAAAATTGTTGTTAATGGACCAGTTGTTGAAATGGATGGTGATGAAATGACTAGAGTAATTTGGGAATCAATTAAAAAGAAATTAGTTTTCCCATTTGTAGATTTTAAAGATATCCAATATTTTGATTTAGGTTTACCAAATCGTGATGCCACCAACGATAAGGTTACAATCGATTCAGCAAATGCTACCAAATTAGCTAAAGTTGCAATTAAATGTGCTACCATCACACCAGATGAAGCACGTGTTAAAGAATTCCAATTAAAGGAAATGTGGAAATCACCAAATGGTACCATTAGAAATATTATTGGTGGTACTGTTTTCAGAGAGCCAATCATCTGTAAAAATATTCCACTTTTAGTCCCAGGCTGGAAAAAACCAATTGTTATTGGTCGTCATGCCCATGCTGATCAATACAAAGCCACCGATTTTGTTGTTTCATCACCAGGTAAATTAGAGATGGTATTCACACCAGAAAATGGCGAACCAATCAAGAGAGAAGTCTATCAATACAAAGGTAAGGGTGTTGCAATGGGTATGTACAATACCGACGAATCCATTATTGAATTTGCTCACAGCTGTTTCAAATATGCACTCAACAGAGACTATCCACTTTATTTATCAACCAAAAACACCATCCTCAAGAAATACGATGGTCGTTTCAAAGACATCTTCCAAGAAATCTATGAAAAGAATTACAAACAACAATTTGCCGATAAAAATATTTGGTACGAACATAGACTCATCGATGATATGGTTGCCTACGCTCTCAAATCACAAGGTGGTTATGTTTGGGCTTGTAAAAACTATGATGGTGATGTTCAATCCGATATTGTAGCTCAAGGTTTTGGTTCACTCGGTCTTATGACTTCAGTTTTATTAGGTCCAAACAATGTTTTAGAAGCTGAAGCTGCCCACGGTACCGTCACCCGTCATTTCCGTGAATATCAAAAAGGTAATGAAACCAGTACCAACCCAGTTGCATCCATTTTTGCATGGACTCGTGGTCTTTCTCATCGTGCTAAATTAGATAACAACACAAAATTAGCTGAATTCTGTAAAGGTTTAGAAGATGCTTGCATTAAAACTATTGAAGATGGTCATATGACTAAAGATTTAGCAATTTGTATCAAGGGTGAAAAAGTTTCAAGATCCGATTATTTAAATACCCAAGACTTTATTGATAAAATCTCTGAAACCTATTTAGCCTCATCAAAATAAAATATTTTACTATAAATAAATAAACTATAAATAGTTTTTAAAAATATCTTTTGATTTTTATGGTATTTAAAATTACCATAAAAGATTATTTTTTCTTTTATTTTTATCAATAAATTCCTTATTAAATTTTTTAAATTTTTTTTTTAAATTTTTTTTTTTTTAATTTTTTTTAAATTTTTTTAAAAATTATTTCATTTTTTAAATTTTATTTATTTCATTTCATTTTTTTTTTTTTTGAAAAGGGCAAATTTAAATTCATATGATATAAATGTATGAACAAAAACTAGCTATAGGAATTGTTAATGAAGCTTTTGGTGATGATGTTTCAGTATGTATTTTTAATAAAGAAAGAAACAAAACACATTTTATTAATATTATAATATTTTTAAATTATATAGAAAGTTTTTGAATTTTTAGTACATAGAGGAAAATCATCATTTAAAATTATAAACCAAGCATTACAGGGTACAGTTGGATTAAAAAGAATCAAGCAATGTCTATTGGTATTGATTCAACATAATTTAGCAACCTTTGAAGAGTTTTTAATACCTTTGGGTAAAGATGAACAAGAATCATTAACACCTGGTGATCCATTCCCATCAGATTCAGTATATGAAGCAATTATAGTTAATGCAATTCATCGTTTAAGATTCCCAAAGTTTATAAATTTTATTAAAGTTTCAAAAGGTGATGAAGCAGCATTCATATTGGAAGAGTTAATAGATCATGGTAGATTACCTATGGATATGATATTAAAGCAAGCCTCTGCATACAGTCGTGCAGCAGATTCTTTTGAAGATACCGAAGAGATTACTAAAAGATTTGAAGATATATTTACAAAATTAATTATGGATCAATTTATAATGAGAGCACCCCGTCCACGTCCAATAAACGATCAAGATCAATCCAATGCAATTAATAAAGAGGCAAAGAAAACTAAAGATTCACAATCATCATCAAATAAAAAAGAAGCAGATCCATTTGCATTACCAGCTGGTTTTTCATCGAATGGTCCCCTATCTAACGATAATTTACCAAATTTACCATTAGATATCTTAACTGGTGGGGGTGCAACCAACAATGGTAGTTCTGCACCATTACACCCAAATGGTAATAAAACAGCAAAAAAAAATGGTCCAAAAGTTCAACTATCTACCACCACTACCACAACAACATCAAGTAAATCAACATCAAAAACAACAGGTAAAAAAAGAAAGAATATAGTCGAAGAGGATGATGAGGCTAATGAAAGTCCAGATGTTTTAATGATTTCAGAATCAGCTCAATTAAATGTACATGATATAGGCGATAGTAATATTCAACCAAATAAAAAGAGTAAATTAGATGTATATACAGTAGTATCGCCACAAGAACAACAGCAAAGAATTATAAATGATGAAACTCGTGTACTTTGGACTATAAATTATGAACAGTTTGTCACAGAATTCAAATTAAAAGCATGTTATGATTTTGTTGTCGAAAAGAATAATCAGCAATCAGGTTTACTCTTTAATGCAATGGTCAAGCTTTGCAAGAGATCTATTCGTTCAAATTCAGATACCCTCACAAGTTGTGTATATGGTGAAAATGCATTAGAAGAATACAATCGTGATTTGGATCCATCCAAGAGAATGGACAAGCTCCAATTTGAAAAATATTTATCAGTCATGCAAGCATCACGTCCAAGTATGGTAACTAAAATGCAAACTAAATCTAAACAATCATCATCCTCAGAGTTGGGAGCCTATCAAGTAAATGTTGGCAATATTATAGCGGTCATTAAACAGAAAATGGTAGAGTCTATCATTAAACAAAAGTTTGGTGATAACGGTTTACGTGTTTTCAAATTACTTTTAATTAAAAACCTTTTAGAACCAAAGCAAATAGCCGATCTTGCAATGATCCCCATCAAAGAATGCAAAGCACTTTTATTCAATATGATGCAAAAGAATATTATCCGTCTTCAAGAGGTACCACGTTCTTCAGACCATTTTGCAAATCGTACTTTTTATTTATTCTTCGTAGATCTTCCAAGTATAATCAGAGATTTCACCGAAGACATTTTCAAAGCAATCTATAATACTCGTGAACGTCTCAACAGCGAATTAGCCCCCCACAAAGATATGTTGGATAAAATGAGTGAATTAGATGAAGAATCACCAGTTACAGAAGATCAAACTAAAATATTTAAAAAAACAGATAGAATAACACAAACTTTATTAACAGTAATTTTAAATTTAGATAATGATTTATTACATTTATATAGTTTTTAAATAAATAAAAAAAAAAATACTTCAAAATTTATTATTTACCCAATTTAGTATTATTAGTTTTAAATTAACCAATCAATTTTAAATAAAAGATCAACCACAATCCACTTATATAAACAGAAAAAATAATAAAATTTATTTCCTTTTTTCAATATTTCCAATAAATATTTAAAAATTAAAAAAAATAAAAAAAAATAAAAAAAAAAAAAAATTTATTTTTATTTTTTAATTCTTTTTTTTTTTTATTTTCTTTTAATAAATAATAATTTATAATTATAAACCATAAATTATAACAATATTATTAAACAAATAATGTCTACATTTAATTTTTATAATAGACAACCTAAGCCTAAAGTATTTGCAAATAATAAAAATTATAAAAACACAACTATTACAGATTTTTTTAAAGCTAACAATGAAGAAATAAATGACAACGAAACAAATAAACAAACTATAAACAATAACAGTAATGATAAAAATATAAATAGTGTCAATATAAATAATAATGTTATAAATAATAATATAAATAATAATAAAAGCCCACACAAAAAAGAAATCGAAACAGCTTCAAAAAGAGAAGAGGCAGATACAATTATAACAGCGGACCACTATTTTAAAAAAGAAAACCAACATGATGATAGAAATATAGAATATAAAAAAACAAATATTAAAGTGTCACCATTAGGGAAAAAATTAAAAAGACTTAACTATCAATATTCAAATGGTGAGGATATAATCAATGGCAGTAGTGAAGCCTTTGCCAGCAAAGAAGTTAATATAAATTTAGAAACAAACAATAGAGATAATATTAATAATAGTGACAATGATAATACTTCTAATAATACTGCTATTAATAATACCAATAATAACAATAACAATAATAATAATACTAATACTAATAATAATAATAATAATAATAATAGCAACAAAAATAATAACACTACTATTAATAATAATGAAAGTAAACCAACTAAACCTCTTCTTAAAATAGCCAACCCTTCATTACCAATAAGGAAATCCTTACCAAATAGTTTTGTTCCCCCGTATAGTAACATTAATACAAATACCAATTCAAATATAAACAATAACAATATCAGGCCCAGTGGATTTACATCCTCACTTTCACTTCTTCAACCAAAAAAAGAACAAAATACACCCAATATCAATAACAATCAAAATATAAACGGTGAAAACTCAACAACAAAACCCAATGTAAATAATAGCACAGATAACATTTCAATTGATAATTCGAATAATAATAACAATATGAATAATAAACCAATACAAAACAATTTTAATAAAAATTTAGCTTTTTCACAATCAAATGTTTCAATTTCTACACCAAATCTAGCATTGTCATTAAATAAATTTTCAGCATCAACAACGTCGACAACTAATAGTGTTAATAATACATTTCTAAAGCCATCAATTTTAAATAGCAAGCCAAGCACAAACAACATTAGTAACAACAATAATAGTAATTTAAATTTAAGTCAAAAAATATTTTATTCATTAAACAAAGTTTCATCAAATATGTTAAACAATACATCTAGTGATAATAATAGTAAAGTTATAACCACAACATCAACAACATCCACAACAAAAAAAACAATATCAACTAATCTTTTTAGTTCATTTAATCCATCATCATTTAGTTTAATGAATAAAAATAATAGTAGTAAATCAATAGCATCAATGGAGATGTTTAATAAGGTTGGTGCGACATCATCTAAAGGTATTCCGTATTCAGAAGTTCAAGTTAGTGAGTCATTATCTGATGAACAAAAGAGTGTATTGGAAATGGTAGTTAGAGGAGAATCAATATTTTTTACAGGTAGCGCAGGAACAGGTAAATCGTACCTTTTAAAAGAAATGGTTAGGGTTCTAAGATTATTGTATCCAAATACAATTTATTTAACAGCAAGTACTGGTATAGCAGCATGTAATATAGGTGGAACAACAGTTCATTCATTTGCGGGTATAGGTTTGGGCGATAAAACGGTTCGTGAACATGTTAGAGCAATTGCAAACAATAAACAAACATCAACTCGTTGGAGAGAGGTAAAAGTGTTGGTTATTGACGAAGTTTCAATGATCAGTTCAATGTTTTTAGATAAATTAGAAGAAATAGCGAGGGAGGTGCGTAAAAGTAAAGAGCCATTTGGTGGTATTCAATTAATTCTCTGTGGTGATTTCTGCCAATTGCCTCCGGTTGTAAAAGGTGTAAATAATACAAACCCAGGGTCAAGATTTTGTTTCCGTGCAAATTGTTGGGACTTTGTCATTAATCGCTCCATCGAATTAAAAAAAGTATTTAGACAAAAGGACCAAACATTTATTGACATACTTAACCAAATTAGAATGGGTTTGGTCGAAGAAGACTCACTTGCTTTCATTAATAGTCAATGTTTTAATAAACAGTTATCTTCAGACGATGGTATTATTCCAACTGTACTATACCCTCACCGTAGCAATGTAGATCAAGAGAATCAATTAAAACTCAACCAATTAACAACAGAGGCCAGAGTATATACAGCATTCGATACAAATCAACCAGGTTATGGCGATTCATTAAAAAATAGTCCAGCTGTAGAAACTTTAACTCTAAAAATTGGCGCTCAAGTAATTTTAATTAAAAATTTAGATATGGAAAATGAATTAGTAAATGGTTCTCGTGGTGTGGTAGTCGATTGGACCGATTACCCAGAGCAAGAAGAATCCTTACCTATTGTACGTTTCTCAAATGGTTTAACTCGTGTTATTGGTAGAGAGGTTTGGAGACAAGAGTTTGGAGAGGTAGTTATAGCTTCTCGTCGCCAAATTCCTCTTAATTTAGCGTGGGCACTTTCAATTCATAAGGGTCAAGGTATGACTATAGATAAATTGGTTATAGATTTAAAAGATACCTTTGAAAGTGGTCAAGCTTATGTCGCTTTATCAAGAAGTACCGGTCTAAATGGTTTACAATTAAAATCAAAAATCAAAAAAGAAAATATTATTATTGACAAAGATGTTATTACTTTTTATAAAAATTTATCTTAAAATAAAAAAATTCAATAATACTAATAATAACAACTCAATTATAAAATTAACAAAAAAAAGTTTTGCATATAATCGATTATAAAAACTATGTATATATACCCAAATTAAATAAAAACTAGATCATTTTTTTTTTTAAATATTTTCATAATTTTGTTTATTTTAAAATTAAAATAATAAAACATAAACTCTTTTTACTTTATAAGAAATAATTTAATGGATAAAAAATATAAATGTTATTTACTTTTTTTATAAAGGGGAAATAAAAGATAATTAAAATATTTTTAATCTTTATTTAATAAATATAATATTTATGTGTATTTTGGTGTGTGTTGGGTTATACTGCTATATTATTACTTTGAACGCGATTGTGTGATGGTTGTAAAAGGTGTTTATACTGCTGGAATATGATTTTGGGTGTGATTGTTGATGGTTGTAAAGGGTGTTTATACTGCTGGAATATGATTTTGGGTGTGATTGTTGATGGTTGTAGAGGGTGATTATACTGCTGGAATACGGTTTTGATTGAATTGTGATTAGCATTAAAGGGAAAAGTGACTCTGGTTTTTGGTTCTGATTGAGTTGAAGATTGTCGTGAACTTTGTTTTCGAATATTTGATCTTAACTTTAGATTAGAAACTTTCAACGTATTGATATTGAGGAATAAAGAATTGGAATTAGGCTAAATAAGAATTAAAGTTAAATATTAGTTTCTTTTTTTTTAAATATATGAATTATTTAAATGTTATTATTATAGTTACCTTTTTAATTTCTATATAATTATTTGGAACTGGAACTTTAATATTATTATAAATTTACTTTGCTTCTTTTTGTAGAGCTGAACAATATGATGATATATTTGTTATTAAAATATTGATAATGATTTGGCTATTTAGAACAACTTGGACAAATTTTCAGATGATGTATATAAATGTAATTGTAATCAATAAATGAAACTATGAATGAAACGAGTTAATTAATAATAAGGACTTCATCAAATTCGTTTAATGAAACTACGAATAAAGTACTTAAATTATTAATTTAATCGCCACCAATTTCACTATTAATTCATATTTATATAATCATCAAATATTGGTTCATAAATATTGTGAACAAAACGACGACGCAATAAACGGTGATAAACTTGGTCCATGTCACCACTGAATTCATCATCGGAATCATTATCATTATCATTTACATTTTCTAAATTATCGGAATCATTAAGGAAATTGTAATCTAATTCTTGTTCATGGGCTCTATTCTCAACATCGCCTACTATGATTGGATCATGACCGTCTCTCTACAGTTATAAAATGAAAAAAAATTAATATATATTTTTTTATTTATTAAGTATAAATATAAATGTATGAATTTACTTACTTTAATGGTATAGAATCTTGCTCTACATAATGGGCAAGTATTTTTAATTTTATGCCATGTATCCATGCAATCAAAACAGAATTTGTGATTGCAGTCAATGGTGGCGATGCTATCGGTCTCCATATCTTCCATGCAAATGTAGCATTTATTATCTTCTTGTTGTTTTTCTTCCTGTTCCTTTTGTTCCTTTTCCATTCTTTCCTTTTCTAATTGTTCATTTTTTATACGTTCCTCTTCGATTTTTTCTATTCTTTCTTTTTCTTCACGTTCTTTTTCTAATCTTTCCATCTCTTCCTTTTCCCTTTCCAATCTTTCCAACTCTAAACGTTCCTTTTCTTTTTGAACCCTTTTTAATTCTTCTTCATCTTCGTATCTATGTCTTTTATTGGTTCCCATGTTAATTCCTAAATCTTCTTCATCATCAGACTCTAATGATCTTTTCTTCATTGGAGTGTTACTGGATGATGTTGGGACACCTGTTGAATTGGAAGCTGGTGATGTGTTTGGTGGATTTGTATCAACAGCGTTACGAGAATGTGCTCTATTAAATGATGGATAGTTCTGAGCACTTGAAGATGAATCGGTTGGTTGTGGGTTTTGTTGTGGTTGGGTGGTTGGTGGAACATTAGCAGCAGTACGAGAATGTGCTCTATTAAATGTTGGGTAGTTCTGAGCACTTGATGATGAATGAGTTGGTTGTGGACTTTGTTGTGGTTGGGTAGTTGGTGGAACATTAGCAGCAGTACGAGAATGTGCTCTATTGAATGTTGGATAGCTCTGAGCACTTGATGATGAGTGAGTTGGCTGTGGATGTTGTTGTGGCTGGGCGGTTGGTGGAACATCAACGTCGGTACGAGAATGTGCTCTATTAAATGTTGGGTAGTTCTGAGCACTTGATGATGAATCGGTTGGCTGTGGACGTTGTTGTGGTTGAGTGGTTGGTGGAACATTGGCAGCAGCAGTATAACGAGAATGTGCTCTATTTATTGTTGGGTAGTTCTGAGCACTAGAGGATGAATGATTTGGTTGTGGACGTTGTTGTGGTTGAGTAGTTGGTGGAGCATCAACAGTGGTACGAGAATGTGCTCTATTTAATGTTGGGTAGTTCTGAGCACTTGAAGATGAGTGTGATGGTTGTGGACTTTGTGGTTGATTGGTTGGTTGAGCATTAGCACTGGCAGTATAACGCGATTGATTTCTATTAAAAGATGGGTAGTGGCTGGTTTGTCCCCTTGAATATGGAAATTGTTGTTGGTTTTGAGAGCTTTGTTGAGATTGTTGTGATTGTTGTTCTTGTTCTGGCTCTTCTTGTTCTTGTTGTTGTCTTTCATATTCATCAAGGTCTTGAAATAGTTTTCTAATACCAGGGGTTGAAGCAGTGCTTTTTGGTTGTGATAGTGGCTGTGATGGTGGTTGTTGTTGTTGTTGACTTTGTTGTCCATCTATTGGAGCAGTATTGTGGATTGGTGAATTTTGATGTTGGTGGTTGTTGTTATTGTTATTGCTATTGTTGCTGGAGAAACCATCGTAGTTGTTGTTATTGTTATTGGTGTTGAATAAAAATTTATTTACATAAAAGCTGAGTAATAAACCGATGATTGCAACAATAAATAAATATAAAATTGTTAAATAATCCATTTTATATTAAACTATTTTTATGAAATAATAGTGATGTGAAAGGTGATTTGCGAACTATTATTTATTGATAGTTGTAATTATTTAATTTATATAAAATGATATTGATATTATTAAATTTTATTATTGTATTTTTTATTATATAAAAAGTTAAATGTAAAAAAAATTTTGTATGTAAATAAAATATTAAAGAAAAAAATAAAAAATTTTCATTCCAAAAGAAATTTAAAAAAAACATTAAATTAAATTTAAAACTTTAAATTTCATAAAAAAAAAATAAAAAAAATTTTGAAATTTTTATAAAAAAATGTAGTTCCCACACACAAGGTTTTTTATTAGTGGTATGAATTAAACAGTGTGTCCGCAAAAGGAAAAAGTAAATGCACAATTTACGAACATCATGATTATTAAAAAAAAATTATTATTATTTACAAATTTTAAAAATGGATTTTAATTTGATAGGGGACAACTATTATTAACATAGTTATTACAATTACAAATCAAATAATATACTGAATTATAGTTGATTTCTAAAAAAGTTGTTGGGTATAATTAAAAAAAATTAAAAAAAAAAGAAATGAATTATTTTTAATTATTTTGAAAAAAAAAAAAAAAAAAAAAATAAACTGCCACTTCTCTGATATATGTTTTTTTAAACACATTTATCTTTATAATATTTTAATAAATATTTTTTAATTTTTTACATTATCATCTTTTTATTTTTTAAAAAACATTGTATTTAAATATTTTAAAAAAAAAAAAAAAAAAAAAAAAAAAAAATTAATTTTCTTTGTTTACTAATTAAAAAAGCAATAACAAATATATATATATATTAATGTATACACAATGTAAATTAATCAATGAAACTTTAATAGTTGTATATCATACAGTGCCCGGATTATATATGTAAACCCCTCCAACTTTTATTAAATCATTTATAAAATAAGATTTACCAATAATAATTTTTATATGAACAACTAGTATACAGAGGTCACAAGTCGAACTCAAAAATTGCAAAAAAATTGGAGTACATAAATCAACAGTAGCAAAAACATTAGTAAAGGTATAAAAAACAGGCAAAATTAATGACCGTAAACGTCATGGGAGAAGAGAAAGTTTGACGAACGTGATGAACATGATTTATGTTTCAATTTTTAAAATAGTAATTTTAACAATATGATTATAACATAATATATAGTAAGAAAGGGTGGGGTTAATGAAATATTTTTGGGAAATTTTCTTTATAATGGTCCAATTTATTTATTCATTTATCAAATAAATTTTGAACTAATCTATATCTTGAAATTATAAAAAACGATACACAACTAAATTTAAAATAATATACAGATACAAATAAAGTGCCAATCATTTGTATTGACAACTGTAGTTCGCATACAGCAAAGATAATGAAACAATATACAGGTTGATCCATTACCACCCTGCAGTCCTGATATTAATATTATTGAAAATCTTTGATCAATTGTTAAAGAAAGGGTATCAAAAAAGATGTTGCGTAACCCATCACAAGACCAAGTTCAGGTATGTCAAGATGCATTTCATTCAAAAGAAAAATCAATAATAAAATCATAATATGAATCACTTGCTGACTGAATGGATGCCATATTAAAAGCACATGGAGGACATACTAAATATTAAATAATAATAATCTTTATATATTTGTAAAAAAAAACAAATAAAATACAAATAAAATTTTTGAAATTTAAAAAACGGCAAATTTGAACCTCTTTAACAATAAAATTTTTTTTTTTTTTAATTTTGGTGTTTTTTTTAAAAACTATGTATATATACCCAAATTAAATAAAAACTAGATCATTTTTTTTAAATATTTTCATAATTTTGTTTATTTTAAAATTAAAATAATACTTTATAGAAATAATGTAATAGATAAAAAATATAAATATTATTTACTTTTTTTATAAAGGGGAAATGTTAAAATAAAGGTTAAAATGGATTCTATTGTGTAAAATAGTATTTTGGATAACAATGTTAAAAATAGATAGGCTAAATATAAAAAATAATTATAAACAATAAAAAAAACAAATAAAAGATAATTAAAATATTTTTAATCTTTTTTTAATAAATATATTTTATTTCTAAATGGAGAATAATATTTATGTGTATTTTGGTGTGTGTTGGGTTATACTGCTAGATTATTACTTTGAGCGCGATTGAGTAATGGTTGTAAAGGGTGATTATACTGCTGGAATATGATTTTGAGTGTGATTGTTGATGGTTGTAATGGGTGACTATACTGCTGGAATAATGTTCTGAGCGGATTGTGATTAGCGTTATATGGAAGCTTGACTGTGGTTTTTGGTTCTGATTAAGTTGAAGATTGTCGTGAACTTTGTTTTCGAATATTTGATCGTAGCGTTAGATTAGAAACTTTGAACGTATTGATATTGAGGAATAAAGAATTGGAATTAGGCTAAATAAGAATTAAAGTTAAATATTAGTTTCTTTTATTTTTAAATATATGAATTATTTAAATGTTATTTTTATAGTTACCTTTTTTGATTTCTATATAATTATTTGGAACTGGAACATTTAATATTATTATAAATTTGCTTTTCTTCTTTTGTAGAGCTGAACAATATGATGATATATTTATTATTAAAATATTGATAATGATTTGACAGTTTTGAACTTATTTGAAAATTTTCGGATGATATATATAAATGGAATTGGAATCTATCAATGAAACTATGAATGAAACGAGTTAATTAATAATAAAGACTTCATCAAATTCGTTTAATGAAACTACGAATAAAGTACGTAAATTATTAATTTAATCGCCACCAATTTCATGATTAATTCATATTTATATAATCATCAAATATTGGTTCGTAAATGTTATGAACAAAACGACGACGCAATAAATGGTGATAAACTTGGTCCATGTCACCACTGAATTCATCATCGGAACCATTATCATTATCATTTTCATTTTCTAAATTATCGGGATCATCAAGGAAATTGTAATCTAATTCTTGTTCATGGGCTCTATTCTCAACATCGCCTACTATGATTGGATCATGACCGTCTCTCTACAGTTATAAAATGAAAAAAAATTAATATATATTTTTTTATTTATTAAGTATAAATATAAATATATGAATTTACTTACTTTAATAGTATAGAATCTTGCTCTACATAATGGGCAAGTATTTTTAATTTTATGCCATGTATCCATGCAATCAAAACAGAATTTGTGATTGCAGTCAATGGTGGCGATGCTATCTGTCTCCATATCTTCCATGCAAATGTAGCATTTATTGTCTTCTTCTTTTTGTTCTTCCTGTTCCTCTTGTTCTTGTTCTTGTTCCTTTTCCATTCTTTCCTTTTCTAATTGTTCTTTTTTTATACGTTCCTCCTCTTCTATTTTTTCTAATCTTTCTTTTTCTTCACGTTCTTTTTCTTCACGCTCTTTTTCTATTCTTTCCATCTCTTCCTTTTCCCTTTCCAATCTTTCCAACTCTAAACGTTCATTTTCTTTTTGAACCCTTTTTAATTCTTCTTCATCTTCGTATCTATGTCTTTTATTGGTTCCCATGTTATTTCTTAAATCTTCTTCATCATCAGACTCTAATGATCTCTTCTTCATTGGAGTGTTTCTTGCTGATGTTGGGACACCTGTTGAATTAAAAGCTGATGGATTTGGTGTATTTGTATCAACAGCGTTACGAGAATGTGCTCTATTAAATGATGGATAGTTCTGAGCACTTGAAGATGAATCGGTTGGTTGTGGGTTTTGTTGTGGTTGAGTGGTTGTTGGAACATTAGCAGCAGTACGAGAATGTGCTCTATTAAATGTTGGGTAGTTCTGAGCACTTGGGGATGAATGAGTTGGTTGTGGATGTTGTTGTGGTTGAGTGGTTGGTGGAGTAGTAGTTGCGGCAGTATAAAGAGAATGTGCTCTATTTATTGTTGGGTAGCTTTGAGCACTTGATGATGAGTGAGTTGGTTGTTGATGTTGTTGTGGTTGGGTAGTTGGTGGAACATTGGCACCGGCAGTATAACGAGAATGTGCTCTATTTAATGTTGGGTAGTTCTGAGCACTTGGGGATGAATGATTTGGTTGTGGGTGTTGTTGTGGTTCAGTGGTAGGTGGAGCATCTACAGCGGTACGAGAATGTGCTCTATTTAATGTTGGGTAGTTCTGAGCACTTGAAGATGAGTGTGATGGTTGTGGGCGTTGTGGTTGATTGGTTGGTTGAGCATTAGCACTGGCAGTATAGCGTGATTGATTTCTATCAAAAGATGGGTAGTGGCTGGCTTGTTCCCTTGAATATGGAAATTGTTGTTGGTTTTGAGAGCTTTGTTGAGATTGTTGTGATTGTTGTTTTTGTTCTGGCTCTTCTTGTTCTTGTTGTTGTCTTTCATATTCATCAAGATCTTTAAATAGTTTTCTAATACCAGGGGTTGATACAGTGCTTT